TAATACTACCAACTTGTACTTGTACGTCCCGAAAGAGGTGCCTTTATGTCAGACATAACGCCATACAAAATGTGGCTCCAGTATTAAGTACCGACAAACAAGATTTTAATTCGTATTCAATATATTGGGAAATGCCAACAGCGAGTTTCCAAGAAGAAAACACGAAGTGGAAAATTCCATTACTGCCTGGAAAAGGGCAAATCAATGTGCTATAAAACCTGGAATTATTTCCACAAACCGTGCCAGGCAGTCGTTCAAATAACTATCAGTTGGGCCAAGGTTAAGTGCTAGCGATATTATTTTTTTTCATACAAAGGCGTATTTAGTTAATGTTGAGTTAATATATTTTAAACACGCGCGATTCTAAATACACTCTTCATAAAAAGAAACGCACAAGTAGATTTTTGAGTACATTTATTGTACCTAATAAAATCGATATATTTAATTTAATATCATAGATGCAAATATGAAATTTTGGAGCTCGATAGTCACATGCTGACGTTGTAGAAAGGCATTGAAAACTGTTCAATGCCATGTCACATAAGGCCACAAGGTTGCGCTGAACTCAGTATCTCGTATGACCGCCCCGGGCAGCAATCACGGCTCTGCATCTCCTCGGCACTGACTGGAGAAGTATACGAATTATGTCCTGTGGAATTCTGCGCCATTCTACTTGTAACGCGTTGGCCAGTTGTGGGAGTGTCTGTGGCGTGTTCTGACGTTGACGTACACGTCGATCGAGTTCATCCCAGAGGTGTTCGATTGGGTTGAGATCTGGAGATCTCGACGGACAGGGCAATACGTTGATGTTGGCATTATTGATTGAAAGAAGGTGAGGTTGAAGAATCTGATTGTCAGATTTCCCTGAACCACAACCAAATCAGATCTCGTGATGTAGGATATGCGCTTCATTTCGATATAACATTAGTCATGAATAATATCCCGATAAACGTTCAGAATAGATGCAATGGGATCTCATGATTCAGGAAAGGGTGGGATGAGTTTTATTCCACACTGAAAGGCCACAGGCCCATGGTACAAAGTATTTTAGCCAGATCACGTGGATCAATCAGATCTCATCATTCTGACATGGAGGTAAGTTTAATCTGTTTACGGGGGTGGTTGCAAATATGTTTAACAGTTCATATTCTAATCAGCATTGCATGATAAAAAAAAACTGAGTTAGTTAATTGTGGGGGCAAGGTCATGGCTAATTCTTCATTATATGACATATCCGTACAAGATGATGAATGAGTCGATACATCGACACAGTACCCCTGGCATAGAGATGCAAGTACAGTGTACCGCATTGAGCATTCGCACGTACCCGTGAAGATCCGGGTTAGAAATAGTCTTTAATACGTGTCGTAAGAGACGATGACCGGGATCAGGTGATCAGGCTGCCTGACTTGGTTGAAGCTTATCGATGCTCATGGTGTTAATCACTGGATTGTCTGGTCCAGACTCGGTTATTTACAGACAGCCTGTGGGGACTTAACACATTGAACTGACTCCGAGCCGACCAGTCTTGGTTTTATGCCCTTCATGTCGAGCGCCAGGCAGATAACAAGTAACAGGTACCATCTTTTAACGTCTTTTGGTATGACGAGTACGGGAATCGAACCACGACCTTCAGCTCACCGGGCAGATGCCATATCTACTACACCACGGAGGCGGTCTTATTGCTCAAACGGACATGGCTGCCAAAAGTAAGACCAATCTTTATAATATAGTATGGATCTCCGATTGTGAACACACTCATGAATATTTGAAGACTATTTATTACTGATACACAGACAAGCCTGGTTATCTATTGTGCTCATCAATACATGTACACATGGGGTTGCTGAAGTTGTTATTGGGGCTGTGTATATAGCAGGGAGTCATATCATACGATGTAGTACCCCACAGGCCGACAACAGTGTGGGTGTAGAGGGGTCAGGGGATCATTTGGGAAGGGGGTCTTAAATTTTTCCACGGGTTCAAATCTGACAAGATGGTACAGGGGAATTCGTCTTAAGTTCAATAACATAAAGGTATTTTTTGGTTTCAGTTTAAAGGAGGGTGCCGGTTACCGGTAAATACAGATAGTCCACAATATGTCTACCAGGCCGTTCAGTGTAACATCTCAATGCAAGGCTGGTGTTTCCTGATCACAAAAGAGAATACCAGACTGTTACTCAGTCTAGGTAGATCTGTGCCTTTCCTATTCACGAGTTAGCTGACTGACTGCTCATGTAGGGTTCTCGCCCGCTGTTGAATCGACTTTCTCACAAGATACAATTATGAAGGAGGTTTTGAGAACATTATACACCTCCAACATCACACATTTGCTCTTCGGCTGGGTTAACCCACTGGATGCCACAGGCACATATATGTCACTTTTAAGTCAAACAAAATTCAAAATACATCACGCACATAAATACTCTTCAATTTATTTATAATTCTGTTCTGTGATATCATCAACTGTTATTGAGGTAATGCAGATTACTGAAATGACCTCTGAAAAGTAAGTACATTGTAAATATCTCTATTTTTGACATATTACTAAAAACTATCTCTGCATCCAGAGAGTCATCACAATGAATGTTCCTTCGGATTCGAACCCGTACACATCCACACCGCAAGACATTTGGCTAATGATTGTCAATTCGATACCTTATAAATAGTGGGAAAAGAAATTGTTTGTGGCGTGCAATTAGGTTCCGAGCTTAAGTTCAATATAGTTATTTGACAAGAAACGTTAATTGTTCTATTTATTATGTTTCTTCATGAGTAATTTTCCTGATCTATCATAGTGTCAAGACACTCTCGTACCCAGGGTTCACTCACTTATTCAATGTACGGTTTTGTTTGTTTGTTGTTTGACGCTGCACTCAGCAATATTCCAGCTATATGACGGCGGTCTGTAAATAATCGAGTCTGGACCAGACAATCCAGTGATTGATATCATGATCATCAATCAATTGGGATACGATGACATGCATCAACCAAGTCAGCGAGTCTGACCACCTGATCCTGTTATTCGCCTCTTACGACAAGCATAGTCGCCTTTTACAATGTACGATGGCGGGATATGGCTGGAATGTTGTGAAAAGTCACTCACTCACTCACACACTCACTCACTCACTCACTCACTCACTCACCCATCCACTCACTCACTCACTCACTCACTCGTGATACTGTTCTACTGAACTATGTGTTTCCTGAAGGCCAAGGTTGAGTCAGCTTGTTGCCGTGCCTGTCTACTACATCACCCCGTGTGTTACCTGTGTCAATATTGACACACTGCAGCTCCACTTTGAAGTACAATAACAGGATACGCGGTCAGACACCGACAATCGCCTAGGTCACTGCGGGTAACGAGATATCGTTTATGAATATAATTGTGTTTCTTGATAAATGGCATATGGCCGCTTGGAATGATTTATACATCATCGATTTATCATTTTAACAGCTAGTGTCAATATTTATCAGTTTACGTAATTAGTCTAACCAGTTGATAAAATAATTAAGCATTGAATTTTCCTGTTTACTCAGAGGATGGTAATATTTGAACTAATTAAGTAATTCACCAACGACCTTACATAGAAAGTAAATTGACAAAGTGATTGTGTTAATAATATGAAGTTGAGTTATATAATTAATAATATTACAAATCCGATAATGTGATATCGTGCAATATAACTCTCATGGCGGTTCATATGTTCAATTATTACGTTCACAATATTGCATCAAAACGTGATGAAATTACTTCAAATATCTTGCGACTAAATTAGCTCCAACCAAACAAGATCCGAGACAACCCGCCCGGGAGATAAAAATATGTAAACCTGATATTACAGGCAAAACGACTCACATTACATGCTTTGTCAAACACTATTTATTCATCACTACCCGGGTATTTAGCCTGTCTGGCATATACATACATTGGGTAATGGGAGAATTGTGTCGCTTGCATAGGTTTCATTTTAAGGGGCGGTGGGGTAGCCTAGTGGTTAAAGCTTCAGCTCGTCACGCCGAAGACCTGGGTTCGATTCCACATAGGTACAATGTGTGAAGCCCATTTTCTGGTGTCCCCCGCCGTGATATTGCTGAAATATTGCTTAAAGCGACGTAAAACCAATACTCATTCACTTCAGTTTAAAATGACGTCATTGCATGAAAGGCATTATTTTCATATGTGAGTGAATGTTATTTTACGTCACAGTCAAACTAACTGCTATATCAAGCGGCCTGTAAATAATACATGGTGCCTGGACCGGGCAAACCAGCGGTTGATAGCATGAGCACCAGTATACGTCATCGGGGCACAATCAGTGACATAATAACCCCTTGTCCTCATGTTAGCGGGCTCATAGTCAAGCGCTGGGATCTGTCCCGTAATTTCAGCATTTTAAGTATTTATTTAACGAATCCTCAGCCATGACGAGCCGTATTAATGTATTTACGGGGTTTTATATCTGCTACCCGTAGCGGACTGTTTACTCATGGAAATATTTTATTTGTTTGTTAATTTATAACACCTTACTCAGCAGGATTCCAGCTCTATGGGGGTGCCCGTAAATAATCGAGTCTGGACCAGACAAGCCAGTGATTGATATTATGAGCAACGATCAACGCCGTCGGGGTACGGTGTCATGCTATCAACCAATTCACAAAACCTGACCACCCGATCCATTTGGTCGACTCTTATGACCAGCATAGTCTGCTGGGGACCTGTTCTAAACCTGAATACCCACGCGGTATCCAAATATACCAACACCTAACAACAATACATATGTTCTGAGAATATCGGCATTGACAGTCTGTATTTACTCTACAAAATTGATAATACATTTTTAAAATTGTTAGCCAAAATGTTTGTTTTTACAAAAACTTTTCCTTTCAAGGCAACACACCGAGGTCTACTTACGATATATGGACATTAAATACAAACATAAACTGTCAACATTTTTCAATCGTTCACGCCAAATAGCAAAATGCAAACTGTCACTTACCCTTGAAAACTAGGGTTCAGTCATTTACCGTCTGTAAGTTCAATTTTCTGCAGAGGTGTGAACAAGTTATCCTGTGTCAATGAAATTACTCCTTCGCAGACTGTTGGCCAGCGTAGTGCAGCGTCCAAATCAGCGGAAATACTCAGCATCGCCTCCCGAGACTGGCGCCGAAGTGAAAGCAATCAATTATTGATTAACCGCTTTTATCAGCTCGTGCTGATTGATTGACTAGCAGACGACAGTGACGTCATCGGGTATAGTTGGAGAGAGTCTTTTGTGGAAGCGCTGAATGGTACCTGACAAGAAGGAGTTGTTGAGGAGAGAAATCATGCATGTATAACCAATTGGCTGCGACGAAACAACAAATGGTCTTCTGACTGCAGATTGCCTCCTCGTATGATGGCGTGAGTGTGTATACCCCTTCAACACGCGGTGTAAATAGGTAATGTGTATTTTTCTTACAAGTGAGCTTTGAATAAAGTCTCCCCTCTAAATCAGTCGTTGCATGACAATTATTAGCTTCGGGATTATTGATGCAAAGCAGCGTTCATTCACTGCCGAAGATCCCCGAGGGATGCTACTTGCCAAAGGTCAACATATAGCTGGATTTGTGAGTGACGTGGCTTTAACTCCGCTTTGAACAGTTTTCGAGTAAAACGTGCCACCCCGCTGTGGGAGGAAAGCCCGAAGTAATGCAGGTCTTAGACGTTTAGCAATTAGTGAAACCCATAAGCATGGGTATGGTGCTGACAAACCTTTGAACATTATAAGGGCGAACCGGGATTCGAACTCACAATCAAGATTTTTGGTGTGCCCAAGGGACGCAGCTCTGCACAGCGACTGGGCCACCCGTGCCCTTCTCGATTAGTTTTGTTTGATGTTTAACGCCACACTCAGCACTATTTCAGCTATATGACGGCGGTCTGTAAATAATCGAGTCTGGATTAGACATTCCAGTGATTAATATCATGAGCATCGATCCACGCAATTGGGATACGATGACATGCATCAACTAAGTCAGCGAGCCTTGCCACCCGATCCCGTTAGTCGCCTCTTACGACAAGCACAGTCGCCTTTTACGTCAAGCATGGGTTGCTGAAGACCTATTCTACCCCGGATCTTCACGGGTCAATTTCAGAAGCAATGCAAACATCAAAAGAGCTGTAACGCTCCGACATGTCACCATGTCCTATAATTTCATTCTACCTTCTTTACATTCATAAAATATATCCATTTGTAACAAAGTATGTATTTTTACATATTTTGATGTAGTATCGACAGTTATGGATACAAACTAAATCATTAATTAAAGGAACGGTCAACATTTATATAATAGTTTAAGTGAGTGAGTGTGTTGGGTTAAGCGCCGCTGTGGGCAGTGTTCCAGTTATACCATGGCATGTCAGCTTGACTTGGGAGGAAAGCCCAAGAAATGCAGGTCATACACATTTACCACGTGTGTGAAACCCACAAGCACGGGTATGATGCTGACATATCCAGGATTATAGTCAAGGCAAATAGAGAATTTCGTACCCAACGATCATATTCTGTCACACCTGAGGGAGGCAATTCTGCACAGCTAATTACAGAGCCTTCGAAGGGCGGTCGGGTAGCCTAGTGGTTAAAGCGTTCGCTCGTCACGCCGAAGACCCGGGTTCGATTCCCGACATGGGTACAATGTGTGAAGCCCATTTCTGGTGTCCCCCGCCATGATATTGCTGGAATATTGCTAAAAGCGGCGTAAAACCATACTCACTCACTCACTCACAGAGCCTTCGATCAGCGGGTTCAGTGAACACACTGAGGCTAAAGGCAGGTGAATACCTAAACTAGATCCACTACAAAGAACCAAATGATTATAGATGCAGCGGAATACCAAAAACTTTCCACACTAGCAGCATATACCATTGAAAAGCGACCAAGCGAGCATAGATACAGCAGACTCACATAACACAATTGCTCCAAGCTACTGGCGACCAAGCGAGCATAGATACAGCTGATTCACATAACACAAATGGTACAAGCTACTGGCGACCAAGCGAGCATAGATACAGCAGACTCACATAACACAAATGGTACAAGCTACTGGCGACCAAGCGAGCTTAGATACAGCTGACTCACATAACACAAATGGTACAAGCTACTGGCGACCAAGCGAGCATAGATACAGCAGACTCACATAACACAAATGGTACAAGCTACTGGAGACCAGGCGAGCATAGATACAGCTGACTCACATAACACAAATGGTACAAGCTACTGGCGACCAAGCGAGCATAGATACATCTGACTCACATAACACAAATGGTACAAGCTACTGGCGACCAAGCGAGCATAGATACATCTGACTCACATAACACAAATGGTACAAGCTACTGGAGACCAAGCGAGCATAGATACAGCTGACTCACATAACACAAATGGTACAAGCTACTGGAGACCAAGCGAGCATAGATACAGCTGACTCACATAACACAAATGGTACAAGCTACTGGCGACCAAGCGAGCATAGATACAGCTGACTCACATAACACAAATGGTACAAGCTACTGACGACCAAGCGAGCATAGATACAGCTGACTCACATAACACAAATGGTACAAGCTACTGGAGACCAGGTGAGCATAGATACAGCTGACTCACATAACACAAATGCTACAACCTACTGGAGACCAGGCGAGCATAGATACAGCTGACTCACATAACACAAATGGTACAAGCTACGAGAGACCAGGCGAGCATAGATACAGCTGACTCACATAACACAAATGGTACAAGCTACGAGAGACCAGGCGAGCATAGATACAGCTGACTCACATAACACAAATGGTACAAGCTACTGGCTACATCTGAATCAGATTGTGAGTGAGTGAGTTGGGTTTAACGCCGCTTTTAACACTATTCCAGTAATATTGCGGTGTGTCAGCTTAATGTGGGAGGAAAGCCCCAAGTGATGCAGGCGATGTTTACCCCTTCGGTGAAACCCACGAGCACGGGTATGGTGCTGACAAACCTAGAAACATAATCGGGGCGAACCGGGATTCGAACCCACAACCATAGGTTTCTGGCGTGCCCAAGGGACACAACTCTGCACAGCGAATCGCGGCGCCTTAGACGACTGGGCCACCCGTACCCCTTCATAACACAAAGGCTACAAGCTACAAGCGACCAGGAAAGCATAGATACAGCTGATTCACATAACACAAATGGTACAAGCTCCTGGCGAGCATAGATAAAGCTGATTCACATAACACAAATGGCACAAGCTACTGGCAAGCATAGATACAGCTGATTCACATAACACAAATGGCACAAGCTACTGGCGAGCATAGATACAGCTGATTCACATAACACAAATGGCACAAGCTACTGGCGAGCATAGATACAGCTGATTCACATAACACAAATGACACAAGCTACTGGCGACCAAGCGATCGTACATACAGCTGAATCACATAACACAAAGCATCAGAACTGAAACAGCAAACACAGAACGACACCATGTGTTAAGTGAGAAAGATACAATTTGATCACAAAACAAAACGCTACATGCTACTGGCGACCAATTAGGCATAAATACAGCTGAAGAAAACAACGCTCCTGGCGCCCAAGGCAGCACAGATACAGATACAAATACATCTTCATTTTCAGACATAGAGCTGCCCTACGTTGTATTTATTATAAGGTATCACGGAATATCTCGGGGGAACACGGGCAGGATGTCCTGCCTAGTCCGCCCAGCACGACATGATTGCTCTGCACGTTGTGTTTGTAAATAATAAATGACGACAAGAAGCCATTTCCTTTGTGCAGCAAGCAGCCTCAACCACAGGGTGCACCTGCATCAACATGCTATAAATTGATCCAAGCTTCAGGTACACTAATGGCGGGTGATAACATGTCCCATAAACGAGTTTACAATATTGCTAACCATCACGGTCTCAATATACCAGTAGTTAATAATTGAGACATAGTTCTAGTTCTAGTTCTGCTCCCCCAGTCGCCATGGACATATAAATACTATTAATATGTGACCATTCCTTATCAAAATGAAATAGCACAGTGCCTGCCAAATTATGTCTACATTTCCCTGTGTTTTACCCGTCCTACCTTTTTTCTGTAACTCTTTTCTTTCTTTATTGATTGTAATTGTTTTTAAATATATTCTTTTTCAACCTTTCTAAATTGTAATTCAAGACAAGACTTTTGATTTGGATAAATCAAAACATTATTCGGATCTTGTTTTGTTTCTAGCCGTTCTTTTCCCCTTGGCAACATGAGTTCCGCTGGTAGCTGAAGTACTCTGGCAGTCTGGTTGCCTGGGACGACAGGAATCTCACAACGGTGTCCTGACTTTTCACAACGCATGTGTCAATTTCCAATAGGACGATTCATCGCTCGTTTAAAGGGGGACTATCCCCGTGTTCTGCCTTGTTCTTGACATTGCAATTAACACTATGGAACAAACTAAGGCATTGACTGTGATTAGGGTAATCATTGAACTAGCGGACAAAGAATTTGTTGTTTGAATGATTCTGAAACAAACTGAACCCGTGAAGATCCGGGGTAGAATAGGTCTTCAGCAACCTATGCTTGCCGTAAAAGGCGATTATGCTTGTCGTAAGAGGCGACTAACGAGAACGGGTGGTCAGGCTCGTTGACTTGGTTGATGCATGTCATCGTATCTCAATTGCCCTTGATCGATGCTCATGATATCCATCACTTGATTGTCTGGTTCAGACTCGATAATTTACATCATATAGCTGGAATATAGGTGAGTAGAATGTGAGGTCCGTAACAGTAAAACTATAACAGCATGACGGCAGTATAATATATTTATATGTTTCTGGTTTGAGATCCTCGAGTCGTCCTTCACTTCTGAGATGTGACGATGTGTTTTTGGAATAGATGCTTATCATAAAGATGCGACTGATAGGTGGAATATTGCTGAATGCGGCATAAACAAAAACAAAACTATTTTTATTGTATATGAACTTTGGTACGTGATGTATCTTCGTCATATAGAAACGCTGTAGCTCTCAACAAAGGCTTTTTTCACTCATCGTTTCATTGTTCACGTGTTTTTGGAATAGATGCTTATCATAAGATGCGACTGATAGGTGGAATATTGCTGAATGCGGCATAAACAAAAACAAAACTATTTTTATTGTATATGAACTTTGGTACGTGATGTATCTTCGTCATATAGAAACGCTGTAGCTCTCAACGAAGGCTTTTTTCACTCATCGTTTCATCGTTCACGTGTTTTTGGAATAGATGCTTATCATAAGATGCGACTGATGGGTGGAATATTGCTGAATGCGGCATAAACAAAAAAACAAAACTATTTTTATTGCATATGAACTTTTGTACGTGATGTATCTTCGTCATATAAAAACGTTGTAGCTCTCAACAAAGGCTTGATTCATTCATCGTTCACCCAAGACTTTGGGGTACCCTATGTCCCACTGACCGTGCCTGCCACACGACTACTATAGGGATCCCTTGAATACCATGCCTAGTGAAGGGCGATGACCGAGAGATCATGAGATTACTTGAATTTCTCCTTGAAAATGTAAAGCCGTAATCTATATTGTTCAATTGTCTTTAATAACAGGCTACCGAAAGATGCTCTTTTAAACCAGTGTCAACAATTACGTATTATTTGTTACTTTTATAACAATAGAGATTGATCGACTACCGCCTCTTCAGCATAGTGTCAGTTATATAGCGACGAAATGCATTTACTTTATAATGTCAATAATGAATAATTGATATTACAAAAACCATTAAATTGACATCATAAAACATTTATTAATATCACAAATAGATTAGTTTTTATTATAAAAAAATGATCGGATTGGTGGTACATCATGTATCAATAAATAGAACTCTTGATACAACCAAAGACGTATATAGATATTATCATATATTATTATTATATATATACGTCTTTGGTTGTATCAAGAGTTCTATTTATTGATACTTGTCCGTCTTTGATACAACCTTTACAAATATCAGCACAATTTACTGCTATCTTTAATAATAGATTAAAAATAAATACACACAAAAATAAAAAAAAACAATCTGGAGGTTTTATTTTAAATTATTTGCACCATATGCATCGGCTGCTGTGTTTATTTGTCATCGACGCTTGCTTCCTCAGTTGAATGCATCGTGATCTAAGGGAAATAACTACGTATACACACATCTCGCAGCTGCTATTGCTTCCGGTACAATCACTGACATGTGACAAGCAAAAATGTCAACATCTTGGACGGCAGTAATGAAAAGGTCATCAGTATGATTGAATTTAAGAAATGTTTTGATTTGACAGGTTCAATTACTGCTTTTATATACCGAAGACGACAAGATCACGGAGTATCAGGTGCTGTTTTGCTCATCCACTGTTCATATTGGTTATATTAGCGTCTTTTGACACCACCCCCCAGCCAGAGGGAGGATTGACAAGTTATTGTCACAGTCCATGTACATTAAGGTATTACCGGTATATTGAGGTTCATGCTGTCCATGATACGTACCCCAGTATCATGTTTTAATGCTCGGTATATCGAGTGATTTCACATAGCGATTTTTATCATGTATTTAATCTTAAACACTTGCCAAATCCATGTACTTTCGAAATGTTTCCGTAATTCCAAAATGACAGTTCGCATTCTACTGTGGCAGTGGTATAAAACCAAGTCATCACTGTCCCGAAACTTGCATCCTTGAATATTTATAAAATGTGTAAACATTATGCTGTTCCAGCATCTTGTTTTGTTCCATTTGTGAACTTCAATTCCTTCATTGATGTTTGAATTGCTTCTGAATTCAAAATTTTGAATTATTCAATCATGATATGTATTGTAATACAGCCTTGTGCATTGTAAAAAATTGTGATACACTTTAAACATCCAATACCCATCCCTAATGTACAGACTACAGTATCGTGACATAGGCCCTAATTGCAATATCGTGATACACTTTAAACATCCAGTACCCATGCATCCCTAATGTACAGACTACAGTATCATGACATAGGCCCTAATTGCAATATCCTGCAGGGTGACAAGGCAGTTTACCAGGAGCATCTTACTGGTTCTATTTTAAAGTGCTAAGTGCACCCCTTTACAATCATTAGGGTTAGGTACCCCTTTCCGATCGAACACCCATTCACGATCCTTAGGGTTGGGCACCACTTGCCAATCAATCACACGTTTACTATCCTTAGGTTAGTTGTGAAATAAAGTATGAGTTAGCTATCTTTTTTTACAAATTAATCCTATGTAATTTGAAGAAATTCTGTGCAATTTCTATCACGTTTTGAGTTTCACTGAAAATATGGCTCCTGCACATGCTCGCAAAGGTAAACAATTGGTGCTGATGACTTGGTAAACGAGCACTAGTTTCTTTGTGATAGCGGTCATGGTCCCATTTTAGAATGTTGGCTAATTAGATTAGCCTAGCTTAGCTTCAAGCTGGCAACATAAGTTCGGTCAAAGTGCACTTCTCCCTCATGCACAACTGGAGAAGAGAGATCTCACTGTGATAACCTGCAAGTATTTCCACCAGGGCACCGTTGTACAAAACAACCTTAGCACTACGCCTGTTGTAAGTCTCCCTCATGCAGAACTGGAGAAGAGTGATCTCACTGTGCCTGTCGTAAGTCTATGTTAAGGTTTGGGAGTTACGATCATCTTAGCGCTAAGATAGCTTTGTACAATGGCACCCAGCTCTATATGAAATTTAGACATTGATAAGAACTTCCAACTGTAGGCCGTGCCTGGCTGGAATGATTAAAACTTCATTATGTAACACTTATGTATGATGGTTTATCAGCACCATACCCGTACTCGTGTGTCTTACCAAAGTCGTAGATGTCAGAGATCAGAGAAATGCATCTCTTGGGGCTTTCCTCCCACATCATGCTGACACACCATGGTATAACTTGAATATACTTCAAAAAGTAGCCTTAAAACAAACTCACTCACTCACTCACACTGTGGGACAGACAGTTTGTTTCTAAGATCTCTGAATCATGATTATTAATGTTTGGGTTTCTTGTATGGTTGTCTCATGATTAGCATCTGTTGACAAGTACCTTTGTGTCGGTTAGTTTCTAATTATTCTGAGTATGAGGGTGTTGTCATGGTATTCAATTAATATTTACTCTGTTCATCTGTTCCTATTAGATGCTGCGTCCATATCTCACCGAGTTCTGACACAAGAAAAGGATGGATCCATCATATATTCCTGGAATGACTTCAGTCCTCCAAACAAGAAGGTATGTCATGAGATAAATTACCTCCCTTGGCTGTGCCAGGATGTGCTGATCATGGGTTTGAATCCTAGACTCACCCTGATTATGACCCAAGGCCTGTCAGCACTATTAATTTATACTTATGGGCTCGCCAAAGTGGTTAATCATTACATGTACTCAACCTGTTTGGGCTTTCCTCCTACATGTAGTTGACATAAAATACAACTGTTTTTGAAAACTTCTCACTCTTGTATATTGTATTGAGCCTACATACTTGCAACTCGTTCTCAAGCCCTGGAAACCCGTGAAGATTCCGGGGTAGAATAGATCTTCAGCAACCCATGCTTGCCGTAAAAGGCGACTGCTTGTCATAAAAGGCGACTAACAGGATCGGGTGGTCAGGCTCGCTCACTTGGATGCTCGAATTGCGTGGATCGATGTTCATGATGTAAATCACTGGATTGTCTGGTCCAGACTCGATTATTTACAGACCGCCGTCATATAGCTGGAATATCCCTAATTTCTGCGTAAAACAACAAACCAAACCAAACCTCAAGCCCTGGTCCTCAGCAGCCAAAGTTGGTCTTGAGAGGCAAGTAAATGAATCTGGCAGTTGAGCTTGGTAACTTGAGACCACCTCCGTGGTCTAGTGGTAGAGCGACCGCCCAGAGAGTGGAAGGTCTGAGGTTCGAACCCCAGCCGCATCATACCAAAAGACGATAAAAAATGCTACTTGTTGTTACCCTGTCTGGTGCTCAGCATAAAGGGGCTAAAACAAGGCCTAGTCGGCTCGGAGTCAGTTTTCTGTGTCTGATTGGGATAATCATGTTAAACTGCGGCATGGTATCTCAGTGGGCTAGCACTACAAAATCAGCATCAGTCTGGACCAGTACAGCCACACAAACACCTGCATGCAAGTGCAAAGTACGAATATCTTGACGTGACGTTAAACCCCATTTCACCTCACCTCACCTTGGTGACTTGATAACTTGCTTGTCATCGTTCCCCGGCAGTGCAGGAAATTGCTCATAACATAAATCACTGGTTTGTCTGGTCCAGAGTCAATTATTTCCAGCCTATTGTGATATTGCTGTGGTATTGGTATGGTATTGCTGTGATAATGCTGTAATATTGTTGTGATATTGCTGTAATATTGCTGTGGTATTGCTGTAATATTGTTGTGGTATTGCTGTGATATTGCTGTGGTATTGCTGTAATATTGTTGTGATATTACTTTCATAATGCTGTGATATTGCTGTGGTATTGCTGTAATATTGTTGTGGTATTGCTGTGATATTGCTGTGGTATTGCTGTAATATTGCTGTGATATTACTTTCATAGTGCTGTGATATTGCTGGGGTATTGCTGTAATATTGCTGTGATATTACTTTCATAGTGCTGTGATATTGCTGTGGTATTGCTGTAATATTGCTGTGATATTACTTTCATAGTGCTGTGATATTGCTGTGGTATTGCGGTAATATTGCTGTGATATTACTTTCATAGTGCTGTGATATTGCTGTGGTATTGCTGTAATATTGTTGTGATATTACTTTCATAGTGCTGTGATATTGCTGTGGTATTGCTGTAATATTGTCGTGATATTCCTTTCATAGTGCTGTGATATTGCTGGGGTATTGCTGTAATATTGTTGTGATATTACTTTCATAGTGCTGTGATATTGCTGTGGTATTGCTGTAATATTGTTGTGATATTACTTTCATAGTGATGTGATATTGCTGTGGTATTGCTGTAATATTGTTGTGATATTACTTTCATAGTGCTGTGATATTGCTGTGGCATTGCTGTAATATTGTTGTGATATTACTTTCATAGTGCTGTGATATTGCTGTGGTATTGCTGTAATATTGTTGTGATAAAACGGTCATATTGCTGTGATATTGCTGTTATATTTCTGTTATATAGCTGTGAAATTGCTGTGAAATTGCTGAATGCAGCATTGAAAACAACTCCTCCATGTGTCCTCTGTTTTAGTCCGGATCCCTCGTGACCCATGTAGGGCTGTTTAACCCAGTTACTCAACAACACAAGGTCAGTCAATGTCCTCGGTGTATCAGCTGAATACTGTGTATAGTGCTTGTGTAGTGTGTGAGTGCTTGTGTAGTGTGTGAATGCTTGTGTAGTGTGAGAGTGCTTGTGTAGTATGTGAATGCTTGTGTAGTGTGTGAATGCTTGTGTAGTATATGAGTGCTTGTGTAGTGTGAGTGCTTTTGTAGTGTGTGAATGCTTGTGTAGTGTGTGTGCTTGGTTAGTATGTGAAGGCTTGTGTAGTGTGTAAGTGCTTGTGTAGTATGTGAATGCTTGTGTAGTGTGTGAGTGCTTGTGTAGTGTGAGTGCTTGTGTAGTGTGTGAATGCTTGTGTAGTGTGTAAGTGCTTGTGTAGTATGTGAATGCTTGTGTAGTGTGTGAGTGCTTGTGTATGGTGAGTGCTTGTGTAGTGTGAGTGCTTGTGTAGTGTGTGAATGCTTGTGTAGTGTGAGTCCTTGGGTAGTGTGTGAATGCTTGTGCAGTGTTTTAGTGCTTGTGTAGTGTGAGTGCTTGTGTAGTGTGAGTGCTTGTGTTGTGTGAGTGCTTGTGTAGTGTGTGAATGCTTGTGTAGTGTGAGTCCTTGGGTAGTGTGTGAATGCTTGTGCAGTGTTTTAGTGCTTGTGTAGTGTGAATGCTTGTGTAGTGTGAGTGCTTGTGTAGTGTGAGTGCTTGTGTACTTGGAGTGCTTGTGTAGTGTGAGTGCTTGTGTACTTGGAGTGCTTGTGTAGTGTGAGTGCTTGTGTACTTGGAGTGCTTGTGTAGTGTGAGTGCTTGTGTACTTGGAGTGCTTGTGTAGTGTGAGTGCTTGTGTAGTGTGAGTGCTTGTGTAGTGTGAGTGCTTGTGTAGTGGTAGTGCTTGTGTAGTGTGAATGCTTGTGTAGTGTGAGTTCTTGTGTAGTGTGTGAGGGCTTGTGTAATGTGTGAGTGCTTGTGTAGTGTGTGAATGCTTGTGTAGTGTGAGTGCTTGCGTAGTGTGAGTTCTTGTGTAGTGTGAGTGCTTGTGTAGTGTGAATGCTTGTGTAGTGTGAGTTCTTGTGTAGTGTGTGAGTGCTTGTGTAGTGTGTGAGTGCTTGTGTAGTGTGTGAATGCTTGTGTAGCGTGAGTGCTTGCGTAGTGTGAGTTCTTGTGTAGTGTGAGTGCTTGTGTAGTGTGAATGCTTGTGTAGTGTGAGTTCTTGTGTAGTGTGTGAGTGCTTGTGTAGTGTGAGTGCTTGTGTAGTGTTAGTGCTTGTGTACTTGGAGTGCTTGTGTAGTGTGAGTGCTTGTGTGGTGTGAGTGCTTGTGTAGTGTGAGTGCTTGTGTAGTGGATGAATGCTTGTGTAGTGTGAGAGCTTGTAGTGCTTGTGTAGTTGGTGAATGCTTGTGTAGTGTGAGTGCTTGTGTAGTGTATGAATGGTTGTGTAGTGTGAGTGCTTGTAGTGCTCGTGTAGTGGGTGTCTGTATTTTATGTCCACAGTAAAACGTCTGTCCAATGTCTGACCTATGTCTGACCTATAGTGTTCACAGTTACATGTAACTAGTCAGACCAGCCCACTCCTGGACCAGCAACAAGTACATGTACAAGTCAACAATGTAAGGCACTTAATTGCTTTGACAAGGAGTCAATTCTAAACGCCTGTGCAAATATAACTATTTCTAAAAGTTAAATTTTTAAAGTGTAAATTGAAAAGAAATAAGATAAGTACACTTTATGAAAAGATTTCAACAAACATTGAGAATATTAAGTAATATTATATTAATTATATTATATATATTATAAAGTGGTTTTCACTTTTTTGGATGATCAGTGTGTTTGACATGTTTGTGAAATAGATGCTGTTGAACAGCTTGAAGAATGCACATTTAAACACTTAAAAACTGTCGTGAAAACATTGATCAGTTAACTTCAAGGCTATCAATGGGGCGGTCGGGTAGCCTAGTGGTTAAAGCGTTCGCTTGTCACGCTAAAGACCCGGGTTCGATTCCCGACATGGGTACAATGTGTGAAGCCCATTTCTGGTGTGCCCCGCCGAGATATTGCTGGAATATTGCTAAAAGCGGCGTAAAGCCATACTCACTCACTCAAGGCTATCAGCGACTAAAAGAATTGATGGGTTGGTCGAGTTACTGTCAAAAAACACATTTTAGGATTAGTAATCATGGTTGTCATATACAAGGTGTAGTAAAATTTCAGAGGTTGTTGACAGTGTACGAGAATAACAATGAGCTTCAGTGCCTCAGAAGCAACTCTGTTAATCATGGTCCATTGGTTGTCATCTGCCTGGCCCTGTGTTTGCAGAGATGTACCGGGCGTACCTTGTTATCAGACACCCTGGAAGCAATTAGTTTCAGCAGGTATTAGGCATGGAGTGTTTTCTTTTGTTGTGAGACCGCCTCCGTGGTCTAGTGGTAGAGCGTCCGCCCGGAGAGCGGAAGGTCCGGGGTTCGATCCCCGGCCGCGTCATACCAAAAGACATTTAAAGATGGTACTTGTTGTTACCCTTTCTGGCGCTCGGCATTAAGGGGTTAAAGCAAGGACTGGTCGGCTCGGAGTCAGTATACTGTGTCTGAGTGGGGTATTCATGTTAAACTGCGGCATGATATCTCAGTGAGCTAGCACTATAAATCGGCATCAGTCCGGTCTAGTAAAAGCAGCCACACACACACACGTGCATGCACGTCGCTATATAAGTGCAATAATCTTGGAAGCGACGTTAAACCCAATTTCACCTCACCTCACCTCACCTCACCTCACCTCACCTCACCTCACCTCACCCTTTGTTGTGTTCAGGTTATACAAGTCAACAACCAGAGGCTGAAGATTGTGTCCTGCTCCATCAACAAGTCAAAGACGCTGCTAGGTAGGAGCACTTCCCCCAGGGAAGCCATATTTTATCACTGGAATAGCTAAACATTTCCCATCCTGAATGAAGAAATTAATGTGTTAGGCTGCATTTAAGGTTTACAGAATTTTTCTCACCAATTAACATGAGTAAGTCAAGATGAAAGCATTTATAAAGCTATCTCATTAAAACAAATTGATGGGTCGGTCGAGTTGCTGTTACAACATACATGCTTATTTTCTTTGGACATGTGCAATTGAAGAACAGTTACCTTTTTCACAATAGGGGTGGTGGGGTAGCCTAGTGGTTAAAGTGTTCGCTCGTTGTTACAGTGTGTGAAGCCTATTTCTGGGGTCCCCCGCTGTGATGTTGTTGGATTATTTCTAAGAGCAGTGTAAAACCATACTCACTATTTTGCACTGCTTTTAGCAATATTCCAGCAATATCACTGCAGGGGACACCAGAAATGGGCTTCACACATTGTACCCATGACGGGAATCGAAACCGGGTCTTCCGTGTGACGAGCTAATGCTTTAACCACTAGGCTACCCGACCGCCCCTATTTTCACAGTAACTTTTGTGTGCTTTAATTGTGTCTTTATAAGAAGTTTGCGTGACCAGAATCTTTATACAATGTTTGAGATCAATTATTTTTCAGATAGGTTACAGTTACTTTATTTTTGTGGTTGAATCTTTTGAATTTTCTAATCCATTAAACAGGAGCAGTGAGGCAAGTAAGAATAAATTTGAAGTCTGCCTCAGGAATGAAGTTTTTAGTTCAGTCATGTGAATAAGATTTTTGTGTGTGTGCGCTGTTCCTCCTACCGTTGTGCTCCCTCCATTCAAGATGTCAACTTGCACACATAACAACATGATAGTTTCTTCAACAACTTTTTCCAGTGATGGGAATAAAAATAACAAACAGCAGATATTGTTGGGAACAGGGTATTCATTGTCGTGTACTGCATTGACAATTAATAAACATTTCCCGATTTTGATTTATTTTGCAACTCATCGTTCTCATTTGGACTGTAATGTTGAACTGTTTTTGATCCCACAATGCATTTATGACATAAATCTGTTTCAGCTTTTACAACCTTCTCCAGGGGGGATGCATCTAAAGATGGAAAGACAGGAAGAGGTAATGATGCTGCCTGTTACGACTACGTGGGATTCCGGGTTAGAGAGGTCCCCAGCATCCTACGCTGGTCGTAAGAGACGACTACTGGAGCGATTATTTACCAGCCAGTGTGATGGAGCTACAGTATTGCTGACTGTGGTGTTAAGCAATAGTCACTCGCTCAGGCGTTTAGCTTGAAGACGGGCATCACATTGATACACAGATCAGTAAAGTTACATTGTTGTTTGTCTGTTGTTATATGCCAGAGCCAGCAATATTACATCTTTATCGTGGTGGCCTGTAAATAATCAAGTCACCTTGCTGGACCACCAGGTTTTGTTTAGTTTTGTTTTGTTTTGTTTTGTTTTGTTTGTTTGTTAGTTTGTTTGTTTGTTTGTTTGTTTGTTTGTTTGTTTAACACTGCAGTCAGCAATATTCCAGCTATATGACTATATATCTGTAAATAATCGAGTCTGGACCAGACAATCCAGCATCGTTCTACAGTTCTTCAATTGGGATACGATGACATGCATCAGCCAAGTCAGCGAGCCTGACCACCCAGTCCCGTTATTTGCCTCTTATGACAAGCAGAGTCACCTCTTACAGCAAGCAAGGGTTGGTTCTATGTTTCTGTTCACGATGAAACAAAGAGATTTGGATTCCTAAAGGCTAGACACCATGCAGTGATCCATCTAGTTCACACATTTCAAACACACATTTTAGGATTAATAATCATGGTTGCTATATACAAGGTGTAGTAAAATTTCAGAATTTTACGAATGTTGACTGTGTACAAGAATAATGGTGAACTTCAGTGCCTCAGAAGCAACTCTTAATCATGGTCCATTGGTTGTCATGTGCTTGGCGCTGTGTTTGCAGAGATGTACCGAGCATACCTTGCAGAGTTACAGGCCTTGGAGACTCGTGTCTTCTCCCTCAACCTTGAGCGACGCAACTTCCTCAAAGTCCAGTTTCTGTATGCTAGTCTTTCCGACCAATCAGCTCCCAGGGAGTCCCATCTTCTAGTCTTCCTTCATAAAGAGTGTAAGTATTACATAGCTAGTCTTTCCTACCCATCAGCTCCCAGGGAGTCCCATCTTCTCGTCTTCCTTCAAAAATTATTTTACAAACTGATTGATGCCATTATTTAATGTCTTTTGTCTTTTGTGTGAACCATTTTGTCTGGAAATTGTGATGATTATTGTATTTAAATTGTTGACTTGACCCACATATCTCTAATTGACGAGAATCATCAGTATATACACAATGACACCTGTTTTTAACTTGACTGTGACTGCCAAATTTTCAAGACTCCGATGCATGGCAAGACAGATTCATAAGGTCTTGATGACCCCAAGTGTTCCAGATGGCCGCCAAGTGTTCTTGTGTCCCCTTGTTTATCAGGGCAGGTTACGGAAATTTGGTGATAAACTGCTGCTTTGACTATTTTGTTGTTTGTTCTTTCATGAGAGTTGCATGTGTTTTCCATCTAACCTCAGAGCTCAGGGTATTGATTGGATTTCATCCACAAGGTGACAAGAGTTATCTCCCTTTCCTTATGAGCACACTTTCCAGCTTGGTCGTCATTAATTTATATTGTTTGTATGCTTGTATATTTTGTGTGTTTCTGTTTGCAGCAATAGGTTTATACAAGATCCCTATGGCTAGAGCTGGGGATAAGAGAACTGTAAGTAGTTTCTGAGTGTTGTCACGAATAATGACATTACGCTGTCACTGTTATCAATGGCTGTTGTTAATCCAGGTGTAAATATAGCTAGTTTTTAAGCATATTTTCATCAGAATATGTCCAAAACAGAAGAGCAATGGAAAACAAAGTCAAGTCCCTCATGTCCCCATTTACCCACCTGTTCCTGAAATGTACTTGTCCAATATTTTCCAAGGCGGGATTCTATTCAGGGAGTCATCATTAATAAAATTTGGGTTAATATATTTAAAGCTTGTAGATTTTTTCAACATCCTTTAAGAGGCTGTATATAATGTTGACATCACATATAAGAAATGAACGACTCGTGGTCGTTGTTTATCATACAATAAAACACTGCAGGGAGAATAAGCCATGAGGGGCTCCCCTCATGGTTGATTCTCGCTGCAGTGTTTTATTGTACGATAAACAACTCCCACTTGTTGTTTATTTCTTAAATTTAGTGCCAACATTCACACAGTAAAGAATGCCTAAGTCCAATGTTTATAATCCTGATAAACCCATCTCCTCCAGATGCCGTCCCATGTTTATAATGCTGATAAACCCATCTCCTCCAGATGCCGTCCCATGTTTATAATCCTGATAAACCAATCTGCTCCAGAAGCCGTCCCATGTTTATAATCCTGATAAACCCATCTCCTCCAGATGCTGTACCATGTTTATAATCCTGATAAACCCATCTCCTCCAGATGCCGTCCCATGTTTATAAACCTGATAAACCCATCTCCTCCAGATGCCGTCCCATGTTTATAATCCTGATAAACCCATCTCCTCCAGATGCCGTCCCATGTTTATTATCCTGATAAACCCATCTCCTCCAGATCCCATCCCATGTTTATAATCCTGATAAACCCATCTCCTCCAGATGCCGTCCCATGTATATAATCCTGATAAACCCATCTCCTCCAGATGCCGTCCCATGTCAATAATCCTGATAAAACCATCTCCTCCAGATCTCATCCCATGTTTATAATCCTGATAAACCTATCTCATCCAGATCCCATCCCATGTTTATAATCCTGATAAACCCATCTCCTCCAGATGCTGTCCCATGTTTATAATCCTTATAAACCCATCTCCTCTAGATGCCGTCCCATGTATATAATCCTGATAAACCCATCTCCTCCAGATGCCGTCCCATGTTTATAATCCTGATAAACCCATCTCCTCCAGATGCTGCCCATGTTCATAATCCTGATAAACCCATCTCCTCCAGATGCCATCCCATGTTTATAATCCTGATTAACCCATCTCCTCCAGATGCCGTCCCATGTTTATTATCCTTATAAACCCATCTCCTCCAGATCATGTCTGACCAACCACACACCATGCAGTTAGTGCGGAAGTTTGTGTGGTGTCAGTGGGACGCCGTCAACCAGCGACTCCACTACATCTACAACTACCGCCCACAAGGAGACAACAGCAACGTCGTGGCACAGAAACTTTCAACTCTTCAGTTCCATCAGAACGCTGACTATGACAGCATGGTAAGGCAGCAGGAGCTCTGGTGGCTTGGTAGTCTTAGTGATGGAAACCGAGAGGTCCGATTATAATCCTTGGTCTCTCACCGCCATACCTGTGATTGTACTCCGTCACTTGTATCAGGGGGTCACAGGTGGCCTAGTCAACTAAGGCACCACAATTCTCTGTGCAGAGTTGCGTTCCTTGGGCACCCAGGAAACCTATGATTGTAGGTTCGAATCTCGATTCAACCCGATTATGTTTCTAGGTTTGTCAACACGATATCCTTGCTCGTGGGTTTCACCAAAGAGGTAAACGTCTGAGACCTGCATCACTTCAGGCTTTCCTCCCACATCAATATGCTTCAAACCCAGTAATAGATTTCTGGCATGCCAAATGGCCGCAACTCAGCATGGTGAATTGCAGTGCCTTGGACAAGATGGCGTAGATCGATGCTATTGATGTCAATCACTGGATTGTCTGGTCCAGACTCAATTATTGTACAGACCGCCGTCATATAGCTGGAATACTGCTGAGTGCATCGTTAAACAACAATCAAACAAAACTGAGCAAACGATGACTGTTACAGTGCTATGACATCATGAAATGATGTTACAATGCAGTGACATCACAACGTAATGGTGCTGCTCTTCACTTTTGCTGTAAGCAATATGGAGATTGTTGTAAAATGGGAATCAATATTTATTTACCTATGTGCGACTATTTGACTTTTAGTGTAGGATTCCTAGCTTTTTGGCTTTATTTTCATAATAGGTTTATGCTAGTATGCCGTTAAGTATGTCATAAGGATTCCCAATGCATGACGTCCTTTATACTAATACAGTCGAACCTCATTGTGTCGAACTCATGGGGGCCTGAAAAAAGTTTGAATTACCCGTAGTTCGAAAAAATCAAATTATAAGCTTAATTTGGATACTTGCGACTCTCAAATGAGTTCGAGACAACCTCAAATTAGACACATCCAAGTTCGACACAGCAAGGTTTGACTGTATATTTCTCTGCAGATACACTCACTTCTTGCCGCCTAATATTGTTCAAAACCCTCCCTTGGTAGATTACAAAGACAAAACTGAGGTATGTTCAATCATAACAGCCTGGTTTGTTTCTGTTGTTTCAGCTTGACATTCCATTGAAGTTCCCATTTCCCTACATCAGGTCAACTTTAAGGTAAAGACTTTGGGGATCTAAACTCTACTTTCAAATTTGTCAACAAGCAAATGGATGATAGAGAAAATGTTTTTTTTATGTACAAGTTTTAAAAAATGTACTTGGTTTGTTTTCTTCTATTGTCACTGTGATCACAACTTTTGTCTTGGTTTGGCAGATCCCACTATGCAGATCGACCACTGAATCCTGGAATTCCTGGTAAGTCTCTCCGGAAGAATTGATTGATCACCACCAGTAATATATTCCTGATCATTTTAGCATTAAGATCTTTTTGTGCAAGTGGGCCCAGGTCTTTTATTGTTCATTATTGTTTTCAAGATGTATTTTGCGTTCGTGCAGATGTAAGTTTAAATGCCTGTGTGCTGAGTCAGGCTAACGGGACTTACTGCCTGTGCTATCAACATATGGCCTTCACCTCCAGCAAGGGCAAGGCCTCACCAACAGCAGCGGCAGACAGCGACAATGTCATCAACTACTACATCTGCATGGTGCATCACAGTAGGTAGACAACCTCGCCTCATCAACGGCTGGTTCAGGGGGACCACCACCTACCCCTTAACACATGCATGCTTACAGTCCGGGTATGAATCGACAGTCAGGTGACAGCGAGCAATTATATTTAGCAGTGACCTTGGTCAATAGTGCTTTAAATACTGCTTGAAATACTACATCTGCACATGTTTTTCTTTCAGTCGTGCCGCACACGCTGCTAAAAATAGTCACTCAACGTCACCTGACTGCCGATCCAAAGTCGGATTGTAGCAGCATGATCGAAACTCAATGATGACGTTTATCGTTAAGAACATGGATATTTCTTGAAAAGTGCACTTTGCATTTTCTGTCATTACTGTAAGTGATATTTCTTATCAGTTGAATGCCTCGTTGACACTTCATAAGTATTAGAACACCTGCAGCTACCTTTGTTAATTAATCCTTGCGATGTGGCAAGGACTATAGAAACATAAGCAAGGAAAACTGGGATTTAAACTGATGATCAGGGATCATGTTTAACTGGCACATAGGTACAGCGTGTAAAGTCCATTCCCCTGCTCTGATAGTGCTGGAATACAAAGGGTTCATAAGGCTCATGAAATTTTAATTTAGTTTTCTGACGACTGTAATAGTTTTGGAAAATAAAACAATTTTAGGAAGGCATGGAAAAATGGAAATATTTTGTTGGTGTTAACCCAGAATAACAAGCAAAGTGACTGAGTTTTATATGCTTTCTTGTCAATGATCACCAGAAAAAGACAATTGGTATAAAAAAATATTATGGTATAATAAATATTTTATATTTATTATCTAATATATCCCCGTGTTACATTCCTAGTTTTCTCAAGAACAACGTTAAAACATCTCACTCACTTATAAAAGACGACTTTATGTTAAAAATAGGACACTGAGTATTTACAATGTCTTTGTGAGGATACTCCCTTTGTTATAGCGAGAGTAATCGCGATAAACATGGCCGTCCCTAAACGTATGATGTCTGAAAACCTATGATCTGACGATATTTATATATTTGATATGGAAAACTGGCATAGTACCATGGAAAAGTCATGGAAATTTAGGCTATCGAATTAAGGGCCCTCTTACTCGCTGACTCAGTCGCAACCACCCACACACGTTGTCAGGGGTTTGCTTGCCCAGTGTGGTCTGTTTCATGTTTCTGTGTAGATCTGACACTGGTTGTTTATTTGCAGCAAAAGTTCTCCATGGGTGTGTTCCAGGACTGCCGAGGAGTTTGATTGGATCACGTAGACTTTCCTTTCACTGGATTGGTGAGTTGATTGGACAAAAGCATCTATTTAAGGATTGACTGTGTATTCATTTCGGTTCATTGAGTGCAAACTGTCTGAATCTGTGTAGCACATCGGTTTTTTTATTCATACCTCAATGAACCGAAAAAAATACACAGTCAATGCTTATAATTAAATTCAACAATGTAAAACATGTTTTATCTACAATATTTTATCCCAAAACAGTTGTATATATCAAAACAGACAAAGTGAAGAGATTGATAAACCTTCCAGGTGTAAGAATACATACTGTGGCGTGACATGAATCAGGTGATCGTTTAATTTAGGTACATAACCTGACATGCCTACACAGTCAGTAGCCAACCAACGGAGAGTAGGATCAAAACAATGTTCATTGGACCTGTCAATCAAGAGACGAGAAGAACTGCAACAGTCAGACTGTAACGAACTGGAAGAAATATGTCCCGGAGAAGGCGGCTGTTTCTAATGACATGGTCAGTTACTGCCAGATTCAAACATTACTTCCCTGAAAATGGGAAAACACAGTTTGAAAAATGCTAGTTAGAAATGAAACCCGAAGACATGCACGTTTGCTGTTTCGTTCATCTTCGGCCTTCGGTTTCAAAGGGTTGTTTGGACAATGAATATGCATGAAAGTCGCTAAATGTCCTGTGCATGATGATACAGGGGAGCAGAAAGGGAATTCCCTCGACTGTAATATTGGGATTCCCCGACATTCTGCAGTAATAAAAGTAGTGCGCCTCGGTGGGTGTGGCTTAAGTTTTTACATTCATTGGGAAATGAATGCAATAACACGTGGCCAATTCAGCTAATCAGAATGCAGGAATTTCAATGAACACATCGAAAATTTAATTATATTATAAGCATATATGTTCAGACAATGTTGACTGACTAAGATACCAACAAATGATTTGATAACGTCATCTCAGTGTCATCAATTCCTGGAACTAAGAAGACAGAAAACATAAAGTTACACTATTGAAAGTGTGACTTTCTTTTATTTACAGAAGAGAAAAGGTATATATAGGTTATTGTCTTACTGTTATTTGTATTCGTTTCAAACTGGTTTTATATACAAATCTGTGATGTTGCAAGTTATTTTACTTTCCTTTGACGACAGGGTTTTAGAAACTATTAATGCATTACTTTGTCTTGTAACAATATGGCTGAAGTATTGCTGATGTTCCTCAAACTTTTAACACACTCACTGACTCTTTCTGATTGGTTACAAAATGGGAAATCTTTTCCAATGTCCCCTATGCTGTATTGTATGAATGTGTATGAGGTTGATTGATACGTACTGATCGAGCCTCACATAGAAGAATAGTGGAATCTTTTGTTGTGGACAATGCATGATGTCATAGAGTTATAGCCACACAACTTGAATCAGAAAATTGCAGAAATTGTCATGAAGATAATTTCTACCCTTCGAGACTGGTTGACAACTCATATTATCCAACTGTTACGTAATGTCACAAACTGTGTATTGTATAGTGCTGTTCAAACTTAGTTCTTCTCTTCTCTTCTATGAGGCACATGTGGCCCAGTGATGGTAAGATGCATATTCCTGTGTAGTGTTGTGTCCCTTGGCCAGGCAAGGATCTGCTGGTTTAAGTTCAGATTCCAGATTGCCCTGTTTATGATTCTTGGTCTGTCGGGACAATACCCTTGCATGGTTTCAGCTGCACTCAAAGTCTACAAGACCATGCTTGTCATAAGAGGCGACCATGCTTGTTGTAAGAGGCGACCATGCTTGTCGAAAGAGGCGACCATGCTTGTTGAAAGAGGCAACCATGCTTGTCGTAAGAGGCGACTATGCTTGTCGTAAGAGGCAACTATGCCTGTCGTAAAGGCTACTGTGCTTGTCGTAAGAGGCGACCATGCTTGTTGTTAGAGGCGACTAACGGGATCAGGTGGTCAGTCTCGCTGACTTGGTTGATGCATGTCATCGTATCCCAATTGCGTGGATCGAGGCTCATGATGTCAATCACTGGATTGTCTAGTCCAGACTTGATTATTGACAGGCTGCCGTCATTTAGCTTGAATATTGCTGAGTGCATCATGAAACCAAAAAACAAATGTCTAGAACCTGGCTGGTTTGGGGCTTTCCTCCCACATTAAGCTGACACGCTACTTTTCACAAAGGTTTTTCACACTGACCCGCTCAACTCCAAACCTGACGCAAACTGATTCTCCTTGTTTCAGGTGACTACCTGATGGTGCTTCTCCCAGGATACTTTGTCCATCTGCTCAATGTCGGGATCGAGTTTGAACCGTGCCACCACATCCTCCTTCACAGTGAGTACTACGCTTAGGGGAATGAATGGGTTCCTGGACTTAATGAATCAGGTGGCCAGACTCCACAACTTGAAGAACTGCACATCACTGCGATCATTGATTTGGCAGCCATGACACAGCTAGAATATTGCTGATTAAGCAACAAACTACTACTCAGGTAATGTAGATACCCATAGATATGTAAACAGATTGTAGCCATTGTGTTGGCCCTCTTTCAGAATGTCTGTTACTCCAAAATAGAAGAGACCACCTCATGGTCTACTGGTTGTTCGTCTGCCTGGAGAGCGGAAGGTCAGGAGTTCGATTCCCCGGCCACGTCACACCAAAAGACATTGAAAGATGGTATTTGTTGTTTCCCTGTCTGGCGCTCGGCACAGAGGCTAAAACAAGGATTGGTCGGCTGGGAGTCAGTATACTGTGTCTGAGTGGTGTGTTCATGTTAAACTGTGGCATGGTATCTCAGTAGGCTAGCACTATAAAATAGGCATTAGCAGCCACACACACATACAAACACAGACCTGAGACCTGCATCACTTAGGGCTTTCCTTCCACATTAAACTGACACGCTGTGATATGACTGGAATACTGTCAGCGATAAACCAAACATACTCACTCACTCCTGTTCCAAATGTGGATAGAGCATGTATTTGTGTGGTGTGGTCATCAGTTCTGCTGTTCCAGATCATGCCAGGGACCGGTTGATGACCTCAAGCACAGCCAGCATGATGACCTCTGACCCAGAGAATGATCCTGCCCACGGGAGTGTGTCCGCCTCTGACATGGAAGGGACTGACACGCGGCCAGACACCCGCACCTACACTGTCCGGTTCCAGGTACACAGATAGGGATTCTGTTAGATGTCACACTATTGAAGGTTGTATCCCTGGGTATCCGTGATGGTTATGACATGTAAATACTCAGGACTTGGTTGTAGGGCTATAGTTGCCACAGGACTTGGTTGTAGTGCTATAGTTAGCCCCAGTACTTGGTTGTAGCGCTATACTTGGCCACAGGACTTGGTTGTAGTGCTATAGTTAGCCCCAGTACTTGGTTGTAGCGCTATAGTTAGCCACAGTACTTGGTTGTAGCGCTATAGTTAGCCACAGTACTTGGTTGTAGGACTATAGTTAGCCACAGTACTTGGTTGTAATGCTATAGTTAGCCACAGTACTTGGCTGTAGTGCTATAGTTAGCCACAGTACTTGGTTGTAGTGCTATACTTGGCCACAGTACTTGGTTGTAGCGCTATAGTTACCCACAGTACTTGGTTGTAGGGCTATAGTTAGCCACAGTACTTGGTTGTAGCGCTATAGTTGCCACAGTATTTGGTTGTAGCGCTATAGTTAGCCACAGTACTTGGTTGAAGCGCTATAGTTTGCCACAGTATTTGGTTGTAGTGCTATAGTTAGCCACAGTAGTTGGTTGTAGTGCTATAGTTAGCCACAGTACTTGGTTGTAGTGCTATAGTTAGCCACAGTAGTTGGTTGTAGTGCTATAGTTAGCCACAGTACTTGGTTGAAGCGCTATAGTTAGCCACAGTACTTGGTTGTAATGCTATACTTGGCCACAGTACTTGGTTGTAGTGCTATAGTTAGCCACAGTACTTGGTTGTAGTGCTATAGTTAGCCACAGTAGTTGGTTGTAGTGCTATACTTGGCCACAGTACTTGGTTGTAGCGCTATAGTTACCCACAGTACTTGGTTGTAGGGCTATAGTTAGCCACAGTACTTGGTTGTAGCGCTATAGTTGCCACAGTATTTGGTTGTAGCGCTATAGTTAGCCACAGTACTTGGTTGAAGCGCTATAGTTTGCCACAGTATTTGGTTGTAGTGCTATAGTTAGCCACAGTACTTGGTTGTAGTGCTATAGTTAGCCACAGTACTTGGTTGTAGTGCTATAGTTAGCCACAGTAGTTGGTTGTAGTGCTATAGTTAGCCACAGTACTTGGTTGAAGCGCTATAGTTAGCCACAGTACTTGGTTGTAATGCTATACTTGGCCACAGTACTTGGTTGTAGTGCTATAGTTAGCCACAGTACTTGGTTGTAGTGCTATAGTTAGCCACAGTAGTTGGTTGTAGTGCTATACTTGGCCACAGTACTTGGTTGTAGCGCTATAGTTAGCCACAGTACTTGGTTGTAGTGCTATAGTTGCCACAGTACTTGGTTGTAGCGCTATAGTAAGCCCCAGTACTTGGTTGTAGTGCTATAGTTGCCACAGTTCTTGGTTGTAGGACTATAGTTAGCCACAGTACTTGGTTGTAGCGCTATAGTTAGCCACAGTACTTGGTTGTAGCGCTATAGTTGCCACAGTACTTGGTTGTAGCGCTATAGTTAGCCACAGTACTTGGTTGTAGCGCAAAAGTTAGCCACAGTACTTGGATGTAGCGCTATAGTTGCCACAGTACTTGGTTGTAGCGCTATAGTTAGCCACAGTACTTGGTTGAAGCGCTATAGTTAGCCACAGTACTTGGTTGTAGCGCTATAGTTGCCACAGTACTTGGTTGTAGTGCTATAGTTGCCACATTACTTGGTTATAGCGCTATAGTTAGCCACAGTACTTGGTTATAGCGCTATAGTTAGTCACAGTTCTTGGTTGTAATGCTATAGTTAGCCACAGTACTTGGTTGTAATGCTATAGTTAGCCACAGTACTTGGTTGTAATGCTATAGTTAGCCACAGTACTTGGTTGTAATGCTATAGTTAGCCACAGTACTTGGTTGTAGCGCTATAGTTAGCCACAGTACTTGGTTGTAATGCTATAGTTAGCCACAGTACTTGGTTGTAGTGCTATAGTTAGCCACAGTACTTGGTTGTAGGGCTATAGTTAGCCACAGTACTTGGTTGTAGTGCTATAGTTAGCCACAGTACTTGGTTGTAGTGCTATAGTTAGCCACAGTACTTGGTTGTAGGGCTATAGTTAGCCACAGTACTTGGTTGTAGTGCTATAGTTAGCCACAGTTCTTGGTTGTGATTCTATAGTGTTGGTTCATGCTCTGCAGCTGGTGGACACCATGATCCCGACAGACGAGCAGTGTGTGAGCCAGGCCTCCCTGCAATCACGGACACTTGACATGCCAGACACCATGTCTGTGACCAGTCATCAGTGTAGGAACATCCACTCGCTGTCACCATGCAGGACGTTCACCAGAGAAATAGGTACACCCATATCACAGTTAACTCTCACTCACTCACTCACCCTCTCACTCACTCACTCACTCACTCACTCACTCACACACCTTTCTGCCCCCTCACTCACTCACTCACACACCCTCTCACTCACTCACCCTCTCACTCACTTACTCACCCACCTGTCTGCCCCCTCACTCACTCACTCACACACCCTCACTCACTCACCCTCTCAATCACTCATCAATCACCCACCTGTCTGCCACTCACTCATTCACTCACCCTTTCACTCACTCACTCGCTCAATCACCTACCTGTCCACCCCTTCCCTCAAACACTGACCCACCCACTCACTCACTCACTCAATCACCTACCTGTCCACCCCCTCTCTCCAACACTGACCCACCCACTCACTCACTCACTCACTCACTCACTCACCTACTCACTCACTCACTCACTCGCTCAATCACCCACCTGTCCGCCCCTTCCCTCAAACACTGACCCACCCACTCACTCACTCACTCAATCACCTACCTGTCCACCCCCTCTCTCCAAGACTGACCCACCCACTCACTCACTCATTCACTCACCCTCTCACTCACTCACTCACTCGCTCAATTACCTACCTGTCCACCCTTTCCCTCAAACACTGACCCACCCACTCACTTACTCACTCAATCACCTACCTGTCCACCACCTCTCTCCAACACTGACCCACCCACTCACTCACTCATTCACTCACCCTCTCACTCACTCGCTCAATTACCTACCTGTCCACCCTTTCCCTCAAACACTGACCCACCCACTCACTCACTCACTCAATCACCTACCTGTCCACCCCCTCTCTCCAACACTGACCCACCCACTCACTCACTCATTCACTCACCCTCTCACTCACTCACTCGCTCAATCACCTACCTGTCCACCCCCTCTCTCCAACACTGACCCACCCACTCACTCACTCATTCACTCACCCTCTCACTCACTCACTCGCTCAATAACCTACCTGTCCACCCCTTCCCTCAAACACTGAACCACCCATCCACTCACTCACTCATTCACCCTCCCACTCACCTACCTTATATGGAATGCTTTCCTTGTGCAAGTTTATTATCATCACCATCACCATCATCATCATCATCATCATCATCATCATCATTTTTATTATATTCCATGGTCTGTGAACGAAACTAGGGATAGCCAGTAGTAATGGTGTTATTGACAGTCTGAATTGGATTCTGATCATCAGTATTTGTAGATGGAAGTCTGTTGAGGGGTATGTGAGTTCTCTGAAAGTTGTTTTCTGCCACCAGGGGGCAGTGTGTACGACTACCGTAATGGCCAGGTGTGGAAGGTTGGCGTGTCACTGGAGGGGCTGGCGGAGAGCTTCAAGGCAGCTTACACCCCGACCCGACAAGCTCTGTTACACTACCTCATCATACGGACAAAAGACATCTACACAATCAAAAAGGTGATATACATCGCTGCCACCAGTGTGGACGCGGCAATTACAAGAATCTTGAAATACCCTCTAACCCCAAATGTAGTAATGTTTATACTTTTGTTTATGTCTTTGGGAATGCCATCATATTTCATTTTGAAAAGGTTTACGACTGACAATGTTTTCCAGATGAATTTACTTTGTTGTTTTAATAATCAGATTGGTTCGAGATTGCAGACTAACGCAAAACCAACCAACTTCTCCCGTACATTCTTACTATATCAATAATACAATAGTTCTAATGAAACAGAAATTCTAACTGACAAAGAAAGAAAGTACATGTAGGAGATAAATCGGGGATTTTTTAACAGTTCGTTGTATCCGTTTGTTCGCTATATTCGTGTTCGTTATATCCGTGTTCGTTATATCCGTGTTCTACTGTAATTTAACAGGGGTAAGTGTATTCGGCGTCACGACAGTCGCCACTTGTTTGTAAACATAACGGTCATTCGGTTGCGAGTTCAACTCCAAGCATGGTTGTGGCCACCTATCACAGTGGGGAGTTATGACTGGCGGCAGCGATAGTATAGAGAGCTCCGCGAACCCAAGGAGCTTGGGTGGATTGGTCCATGGGATCCACCCTTACCTTCTTTTGATAATCACACGTGGACTCCATTGACATGAACCCAAAGTTATACATTTGTAATATTGAAATACATCAGAAAACTTGTCTGATTGTCTGATTGTGTGGTTTTGAAGCATTGAAGAAAATACCATCCATCTTAACCTACATGTATCTGCCACTGAAGTTAAGAAATAAATAATGTTGCTGGTGTAGAAGTCTAGTTCTGATGCAGATATATTTGTGTTTGTGCCCTTGACCTCTACTATTCTGACAGTGTTCTCCGTTATAGTTAAAATAGAGGATTAACCACTGTGTTCGGTTGTTACCAAAAAATCTACACACGAGTGATGAATCTGCCACGATTAGAATGAGGCTTTGCCGAGTTCTAATTGTGGCAGATTAATCACGAGGCTTTGCCGAGTTCTAATTGTGGCAGATTAATCACGAGTGTGTAGATTTTTCGGTAACAACCGAACACAGTGGTTAATCCTTTTCCTCCCATAACAATACGCCATAAAAAGTCGAGATCGTAGTTGAAGATTTCCCGTGTTTAGTAACCACTCGGGATTCCCCCCAGCCTCGTTTTCGAATTTGCTCAGTGAGACAACTGCACCATAAACAGGTAAAAAGGATCTAGCGAAGACAACTCACACGTGTTTTCCGTGACAGGCAAGCCACTTATTAGCATTCATGTTATGTTTTTGGTAAACTATTAAAAGCTGATGGGAGTAACGTTTTGAGAATTAGTAATGTGATTTGATATTTGTTAATGGTTTTGGATTACTCGGCCCATAACTTTATTTGCATTCGTCTCGCCATACGTGACTATCATTCTCAATGCGCAACACTAAATAGGCCCACCTTTTTAGTGTATGTAAATACGTTATTCGTTTATTTGTTCGCGAGAAACAAATGTTATAAACCCAATTAAGAGGAAATTAAATATTGTCTTATATATTGTGAAATATTGTTAACGAAAAACAAGGGCCCAAAGGAACTGTCATCAGGATTGATCAGGCAAGATTCTATAAATACCATTCAGGCAACTGATCAGCTGATTACATCTTCTACATAAAATGAGTTATCTAATTTCCCCATATTTGTAAATGACAAGAAACAATGTGAATTTGACAAGCACAATAATTTATTGTGTGTGAAACATAAATACATAGGATATATGTAAACAATAAATTATCATTTCAGTAGTTCTACAAATATTTGCATTTTAATACCCTTGTAATTTTACATTGTTATTTTACTGCAACAGTTACCTCCAAACTTGTTATTTTATCAGATTAGAAGTTAAGACTTACTGATAATAGGTAATTTAAAATTAACATTTCTTCTATTTATCTTCATGAAAACAAGACATAATAATGTATTTTAGTGACCTGTTCATATGTGATTTTTTTTGGTAAAAAGTATTAAAATTAAAATAAGACATTGCTAATGTAAAGAAATGAGGTTTATGGTAAAATGTTATAAGAGGACCTCTTGTTGGTCATTTCTTCATCACCCATAAATTTGAGTTTTTCTTTACCTACCATGTTCTGAAAATTTACACATTAGAATAATTTAAGGTCTCTAGTTAAAATAGCGACACAGCTTTCCACTCCCAGGCAGCCAATTAGATTATGTGAAAAAATAAACCACTGTAAACCTTGTAATGGGAGAATAATAAATAAAAATACATTTCTTATTTTGTCATATGTCCAGTTTATCATCCCAAGAAATGCTAAATAATTATCATTAAAATTAAGCTAGCTATGCATATTGGGGCTCTTTGTCTTCTATGATAATATAACAATTGCATTATTAAAGAAGTGGGTTTTTTTCAGTAATCATGGTAAATAATAAATCTTTGGTTTAAAGAATATACTTGAGACAAACCTAATTCTACATGTCTTAATACTCTGTATTGTCTGTAAATTCTGAAAATAATTAACTGTGATATTGAGTTTCCACCTAAAACTAATAATATGAAATAAACTCCACCTGTTGAAAGGGGAAACAGCTGCTGTGGTTGCAAAACATCCTGGCAAAGATTGATCGTTTCCTGCATTAAAATTGAGTATTGCTTTAGATCCAAATTATTTGAGTGTTTATTTTCTTAAAATATGAAATTTAAGTCTCGATTATTTTAATATAACTATGAAATATGTTTTTGATCGATCGGCTCTAGATCAACACTTCATTATAACGTGACATTTCTTGTGTGGTTGATAGTTTTGTTTTTTTTAAATACCAAACAATATGGTTTGTTTCACTATTTCATTGGTATTTTTACATGAATTAATTAACTGTTTCATTAGCTTTGTTATTAGCCTTGAAAACGCCCAGTAAAGAATGTACCGGAGTTGCTCACCTGGTCCCGTAATATAGATGCGGTATCTCGCTTCGTTTACCGTCTTCTCATTCTGCAACTGAATCTGGTACATAGGGAAGCTGAAATTCTCTGATATATCTCCACATATCACACCCTTTCTTCCCCCACTAATTTTCTCTCGGTCACCAACTTCCGGCAATGGAAACATTGTCACTACGGTAATGTTTTGCCAGCTGGGGATTTCCTGTACTAGACGACCTCGGGTATCCCCGATGCGAAAATAGTGACGTAAATTATTTTTAGCCAGCCAATCAAAACGCGATGACACAACTCTCCACTCTCAGCCAGCCAATAAGATTGGGTGAAAAAAATAAACCACTGCGAATAAACCACTGCTGGCGATTGAAGATCAAGCCCTGTTATGGGTGAAACATGACTTCGAGGTTTTGGTTGAAACTGTAAAAGCACAAGCAACAGCGACATGTAATCAACCAAATCACTGAGTCTGAGAACACCATCCAATAAATCGCCTCCACAACCAGCATACGTTGTTGGTGTTGTGTTTTTGGTGTAAGAACCAGTGAAGATGGTGATTGGGTTATCACAAGGGTGGTTGAAAACAAAGTGACCACATTGGAATGACCAACTGTCAGACTCAGCATTGCCCACCCACCAAACATGACCCCTAGGGTTTGGTTGAAACTGTATCAGTTCAAGCAAGGTAAAATCCCAAGGTTTTACATTTTCACCCAAAACCGAGGAGGAGTGTTTTAACTTCATTATGAATCGTCTAACTGCATGAAATACCACAAAGAATAAAATAACATTGTTATACCTTATAGTGAAACAATACAGTAGTCGCATTATAAAAGGAATTTGATGAAAGCATGCAAGAGAAAGACCATGTGCAGCATGCAGACAACTGAAGTCATGACATGTAAAACTGAACACCCTTTCATCCCCTGCCCCAGTGGCTCAGTGGGAAAACAGTGGGTTACAATACTAAACGATATGTGAGGTTGCAGGATCGATTTACGTCATAGAATTTTCATTCGAAAGTCCACATTGGATCCATACTAAAAAACTGTCAACTGCAAAACCTAGATCTTACAATTCAAATGTTAAATTTCTGATCAGGTCTCACTTGAAAGTAGTACCCCTCACAAGGTTACTATGAGATAGCAAATGAGTGAGTGAGTGAGTTTGATTTTACCCTGCTTTTAACAATACTCCAGCTATATCACAGCGGGGGACACCAGAAATGGGTTTCACACATTCTACCCATGTCAGGAATCAAACGCGGGTCCTCGGTGTGATGAGCTTTAACCACTAGACTACCCGACCGCCCCATGAGATAGCACGATTACCTGCAATACTATTGACAAAAGTGGCAGGAGGTATATAAAGAGCAGGAATGAATATGTATTAGAATTGTTGCAGCATGTCTTGTTCCTCATCACTCCTATACTTGCCCAAGCCCAAATATTTTATTTTTATTTTAAAGCCCTGTTAAGAAAAAACTTTTCAAATCAAATTTCATTTCTGCAGCAAGTTTTTGTATGCATAATTTCATTCATACTGCTCTCACTGAGACTCTTGTCAAGGTCACTCTGGCTTCTGCTCACCTTTTCATACTTCGAGCCACAAGAGGTGTGACCAAAATAGTTCATTAGAATCAATTAGAATCAAGTTTATGTTTTATTTGAAATCTTCTAAAAACTGTAGATTTTCTCCAATCAAACCCAGTCAGTTTTGAAACAGATCCTTTCACTGTACCTACATTCACAATGCTACATGTTACAGGCTACAGTGGTGTTTGATGATAAGTCTGTCGTTCCCTTCCTGTTTAAGATCTTCAGCGACATCTGCCAGGACCTGACAAAGACAGAGCTGACACAGTCCATTGCTGAATACCTTGTTGGTGAGATGCTTCTGTAGTTAGGCAGTGTAGAGACTTGTGGCTGTCAGGAGCCTTGATTGGAGGTCACGTGAGGTGAGGTGAAATGGGGTTCCTCATCGAGTTCAAGATTAATGCAGTTATATAACAATGTGCATGCACAGGTGTTTTGGGGTTATTTTTGTGTGTGTGCGTGCCTGTGTGTGTGCATGCGTGCTAGGTAAAAGCTTTGCATGCAGCTACTTGTACTAATCCAAACTAATGCCGATTTTATAGTGCTAGCCCTCTGAGATACCATGCCACAGTTTAACATGAATACCCCACTCAGAAACAGTATACTGACTCCGAGCCAACCAGTCCTTGTTTCAGCCCCTTAATGCTGAGCGCCAGACAGGGTCACAAACAGTTCCATCTTTATTCGTCTTTTGGTATGATCCGGCCGTTGATTGAACCTCTGAAATTCCACTCTCCAGTCAGACGCCCTACCACTAGACCCCGGAGGTGGTCTGGAAGTTTAGTGGGTTTTTTTCACAATCTTAAAAACTGTAAATGTTCTAGTTAGATGGGCAAAACTAAAATATAAGCGTTATAAGCGTGTTCATTATAAACACAGTTTACTGTATTTTACTTTTACTTTTATGACAAATTTAATTCGCTTGATTTCATTTATTTTTTTATCATGATCTACTCTTGCTTTTGTAGAATGGGATGAGATAGGAAAATGTACTTGACATGAACTTTCTCGTATGTCTTTGTATTCAGATTCTTATATGAAAACATAAGGTAGTATAAAGATATCTATTGGAAGAAATAGCCCACACCTCTCTCTGGTAAGGTCTGTGTTACATCTGGGGAACGCCCAGCTGAGACTGCGTTAGATCAGGAAAAGACGCTCTGCAAGACAGTCTCTTTCTGGTCAGAGCTCCTTACAGCAACAACTCTAAGCATGCCTTACAACACTTCCACTAACAGATTGTTGTTTTATCTGATGCGTGTTGGGTCTAAAGTGTCTTCGGTCAGTAAAATGTTTGATGGTTTCAGGAACCCAACACACTCCTGAAGTTAAAGTAACAAATTGCATTTTGAGATTCACTGAAGTCCATTTAGTGACAGTAATTGCTGCAGTATATTTCAGGTATCAAATCAGTTGTTTACAGGTTTCAAACACTACATCCTTCATCACCCATGAATACAGTGGGGCGGATCCAGCATTTTCCAAAGGGAGGGGTCCAAAATATCAAAATCCTCTCTCAGATAATTTTACCGGTACTGCCTACAACATACTACATTTGGTTTTCGAAAGGGGGGCCCCCTGGACACACATCCCTCCCCCCCCCCCTCTGGATCAGCAAATGTTAAATTATTGTTTGTATTAAATAATGGAAGTCAAATGAGACCTACTCTGTACATGAACTTTGTACAAATCCGACCATTCCTTGACATTGAAGCAGTGTGTAGGGCAGATACCAAAAGTGAGTGACATAAGACATGCTGACGTTTGTTTGGTTAAACTGAACTCTCATTGGTCTGAGTACTCGATGTTTCCCAGACCGCCTCTGTGGTCTAGTGGTAGAGCGTCCGCCAGGAGAGAGGAAGGTCCGGGGTTCGATCCCAGACCCCATCATACCAAAAGACGTTAAAAGATGGTACTTGTTGTTACCCTGTCTGGCGCTCGGCATTAGGGGCTAAAACAAGGACTGGTCGGCTCGGAGTCAGTATACTGTGTCTGAGTGGGGTATTCATGTTAAACTGAGGCATGGTATCTCAGTGAGCTAGCACTTTAAATCAGCATCAGTCAGGACTAGTACAAGCAGCCACACACCCACACACACACGTGCATGCACGTCGCTATATAAGTGCAATAATCTTGGACACAACGTTAAACCCCATCTCACCTCACCTCGATGTTTCCCCTGCTGGAACCAGGCCAGGAAATGTGTCTCTGTGTTCCCGGGTGATGGAAGAATGCAGTGTACACAAACCTATGGAGTATTGACTATGACCGTTACATCCAGTTTCTGATGTTTCTGATAATAATTACTTCCCAGTTTCAGGGGTCACGGGTGGCCCAGTCATCTAAGGCACAGCAATTCTCTGTGCAGAGTAGCGTCCCTTGGGCACCCAGGAAACCTATGATTGTGTCATAGAGTAACAGTTTAAAACAATAAGCCATTCCCCGCGATTTCCACTTAAGCATAATAACTGCTCCCTTAGCAGGGAATTCTGGGAACCTCGCTCTGGCTGCTTCCGCCATGAATGTAAAGACTCAAGAAGAGTAAATGTACATCTTGACTATCCCTCTAATACCGGGTTGTCTTGTTGATGATATGACTGTATGTGGCCCTGTATGTAGTCTGGGGTTACCACAGATTGTGGGTTTGAATCTCAGTTCAACCAAATTATGTTTCTAGGTTTGTCAGCACCATACCCGTGCTCGTGGGTTTCACCAAAGTGGTAAATGTCCGAGACCTGCATCTCTTCGGGCTTTCCTCCAACATAAAGCTGAAACTCGGTGATATAACTTGAATACTGTTCAAAATGGCGTTAAACCAGCTCACTCACTCACTCACTAATGCACTCCCCGTGTTTCAGCGTCCACCTACAGCAGCATGAAGCGGCAGCTGGAAAAGGAAGTATTGCGGTTCCTGCCATTCACTGCCACAGACACATTACGTGGCCAGTTTGAACGGGTGAGCTGTCCTGCTCACTTGAACTTTTACCCCATCAGGACCACAATGACAGGGGGCACAGGTGGCCCAGTCGTCTAAGTCGCCGCGATTTGCTGTGCAGAGTTGGGTCCCTTGGGCACACCAGAAACCTATGATTGTGGGTTCCAATCCCGGTTCGCCCTGATTATGTTTCTAGGTTTGTCAGCACCATACCCGTGCTTGTGGGTTTCACCAAAGTGGTAAACGTCTAAGACCTGCATCACTTCGGGCTTTCCTCCCACATTAAGCTGACATGCCGTGATGTAACTAGAATACTGTTAAAAGCGGCGTTGAACCCAACTCACTCACTCACTCACTCCCACAATGACAAAGTGAAATTATTGCACGGCTCACTACCCATTGTCTGTCCCTCATTCTTTTAAACTTATGACTTAAATTTTTAACTGTCTGGCTTAAAAATTTAGATTATGGGACTCCAATTTTTTCAAAAGAATATACTATATTAATAAAAAGGGAGAGAAATTATAAGAACTTAACAGTAGAATTTATCCCACTGAATGCTGATATGAGTTGTCAACTGAAACAATTAGCATGCAATAGGTTAAAAGTGCAAGACACTAGGTTTAAAGCAAGCTTTAACACTGCACACATGGCAACAAATTCTGATAACACTTTTTAAAAATAAATATATCTGGAAGATTTTCTATTATATTTTTTTTCCAACAACCATGTTTACATAAAAAGTAATCTTGCAGCATGAACAAGCAGTGTGAACGAGCAGCACGAACTAGCAGTGTGAACAAGCAGCGTACGGGATTGAGTAGCGTAATCGAGCAGCATGAACGAGCAGTGTGAACGAGCAGCACGAACTAGCAGCACGAACTAGCAGTGTGAACATGAAGCATACGGGATTGAGTAGCGTAATCGAGCAGCATGAACGAGCAGTGTGAACGAGCAGCGTGAACGAGTAGCTTGATCGATCAGTGTGAACGAGCAGCGTGATCGAGGAGTGTTAACGAGCAGCGTGATCGAGCAGTGTGAACGAGCCACATGAACTAGCTAATCAAAATGATAATGCTTACTAAGAACTACTGAAATAAGTTCACCAATATGGTGACGATATCCCTTTAAAAACTTGAATGGTATGTTCCGATTGCAGAGCCCTTCAGGAGACAGACTTGCCCGTCTGTCCTACACGTCGTTCGACAGTATCAACATCAGTACCAAGACAGCCCGAGAGAGGGAGAGTCAGCAGCCAGTCAGTGAAGACATGTGGGACATCCTACGACGCAGACTCAGGATGAGACAACTGGATCATGCCCCACGATTTAACCTGGACATCATTGGCAAGCAGTTCGCAAAAATCACATCAGATGAGGAGAGAGAGAGGGTGGGTAGTTGGATCCTTATATTCACTATAATAAGGGCCGTTAAAGAATTGAGGGGTGGGGTGTACTTTTACCATTCACGCTTGAATTTGTTGTTAAGAGAATGAGTGGGAGAGCACGAACTTAATTCAAACGTAAGCAAATCTACCCAGAGGATGGGAGGGGGGTCCTCATCTACCCAGAGGAGCGGAGCAGGGTGCACATCTATCCAGAGAAGGGGAACAGGGTGCATATCTATCCAAAGAGGGTAGCAGGGTGCACATGTATCCAGAGGAGGGGAGCAGGGTGCACATCTATCCAGAGGAGGGGAGCAGGGTGCACATCTATCCAAAGAGGGTAGCAGGGTGCACATCTATCCAGAGGAGGGGAGCAGGGTGCTCATCTATCCAAAGAGGGGAGCAGGGTGCACATCTATCCAGAGGACGGGAGCAGGGTGCACATCTATCCAGAGGAGGGGAGCAGGGTGCACATCTATCCAGAGGAGGGGAGCAGGGTGCACATCTATCCAGAGGAGGGGAGCAGGGTGCACATCTATCCAGAAGAGGGGAGCAGGGTGCACATCTATCCAGAGGAGGGGAGCAGGGTGCACATCTATCCAGAGGAGGGGAGCAGGGTGCACATCTATCCAGAGGAGGGGAGCAGGGTGCACATCTATCCAGAAGAGGGGAGCAGGGTGCACATCTATCCAGAGGATGGGAGCAGGGTGCACATCTATCCAGAAGAGGGGAGCAGGGTGCACATCTATCCAGAGGAGGGGAGCAGGGTGCACATCTATCCAGAGGAGGGGAGTAGGGTGCACATCTATCCAGAGGAGGGGAGCTGGGTGCACATCTATCCAGAGAAGGGGAGCAGGGTGCACATCTATCCAGAGGAGGGGAGTGCAGATCTTTGAGGGACACCATGGGTTTCACAGACTGCATGTTGGGATATTGCAGAATGATATTTACAGAAAACAGTAAGGTTGAAGGATAGTATAATTGCCTTTTAACTATTATTGAAAACATTTGTGCGAGCATGCATACAGAGTTTCAGAAAAGGAGTGGTACATTTTTGTATTTGGAATTCCCTTTTGGTAATCATGTAATAATGAAACTTTAGAATATTAAATGTCTGTGTAATTAGAAACAGTGGGATGTGGACCCCCACCCCTCGTCTGGATATATATGCATTAATAACTACTGAAAATAGTGGCAAAATACAGGTTTGGGCAAGTTTTTGATGAAATACTGTTCAAAACAGCATTAGAGCCATCTCACTGTATTCTCCCAGATATTGGTGTGAGTGAACATTCCAGTGTCTACTTCAGGTCAAGTGGGAGAGAGTTATTAAACCATCCAGAGAGGCGTTCCTCGGAAGCATTCACAGAACCAACAGGTTGGTACTGTCCCTGTTGAGACAAGATCTGGGTTAAGATTGGGATCCTTTTAGGCTTTCTCTTTCTCTCACCCCATTGTAGAACTGTATTGGGATCTTCACCCTCCTCTTACCTCCACGAAAAATATTATATGCTACTCAACATGGTTATTTGGAGAAAATGTTAACTAGAGTGTTTCCGTTGTTTGAAAAGCTTTATACAAATTTATCTAAAGGTCACAAGTATCCACTGAAATAATCTGAATCATGCCTTATAATATGAAGATGTTGATGATGATAATAATAATAATAATTATTCGCTGGGCCAGTGATGATGATGATGATGATGATGATGATGATGATGATGATGATGGAGGAGAAATGGCCTAACATTGTACTGCAGGGATACCCCAGTGCAAGCGTCTAATGGTGGCAGTGGGCGACGTAGTCGGACAGAGATGGTGCTCGGACCTCAGCCTCAGTTCCTGCAGGGCGCCTATGGTGAAGATGTGTCCAGGACAAGGAAGCTAAATGCACTGGTAGGTGTTGTACTTTCATTGTTTCCTTTGATCATGAAGCGTTAATGTGTTAATTCAAATTTGAGCTCCTCCGCAGCCCCTGCAATTGGTTTTGAAGCCATATGCTTATGAGCTGATATGTTTCTGACATATGCTTAGATGATCTTGAAGGTCAAGGTCATTCATGACAAAAATAGCAGCACCCAGTCAGGATGATCTGATCGATAATCAAGATCTATACCTGTGATAAAATGGGTCTTACATCGCGAAATGCATCAAATCACGTGAGCACCTTGATTAAAACATGAAAAGATTTGGAAAATATCTGCTGACAACAAGTTGGCGGTGCACATGCTTTGCAAATCCTGCAATCAATCGAAATCTTCACGACAGTTTCGATTTCAGTGCGCGATTTTGATTGGACTATGCATAGACTCGTTAGTCTAGCCAAAATGAAACTCCATAATACCAGCCTAGGTCTGCAAGGGTGGAAACTGGACTTTTATTTTCAGTTAAATCTCTTGCCTTGGGAAGATGAACTCGTAATAACCACTGGTGGTGCTACAATCGAGCCCAGGAATTCCAGCCTTGTTCGGCAAGGGTGGAAACTGGACTTTTAAAGTCAGTCAACTCTCTTGCCTCGGGAAGATGCATTTTGGAGGCATTCACTCACTGTGCACTAACATTCTTGTTTTTGTGGTCAAATTAGATAAATAACTATACGGTCTGATCCAGAATACAATCAAGAGTCCAAGTGTGGTTTGATAACATTTCTAACACATTGAACAGCTAGAAGTGTCTCATGTTATGTCTCATGCCGACTGTGTTGTAGACAGAAGACTTGCTTACGTCCTACCTGGCTCGCCATCTCAAGAAGGACAACAAGGTGAAGGCTCACAACGTGGCCAAGGAATATGTGGCATGTCAGGTGGGTACACACATGTCCTGGAGTCCTGGAGATATAACTGAAATACTGCCTGTGTAGGTACAGCTGAGACACTGTGATATAACTGAAATACTGTCTGTGTAGGTACAGTGATATAACTGAAATACTGTCTGTGTAGGTACAGTGATATAACTGAAATACTGCCTGTGTAGGTACAGCTGAGACACTGTGATATAACTGAAATACTGCCTGTGTAGGTACAGTGATATTACTGAAATACTGTCTGTGTAGGTACAGGTGGCACACCGTGATATAACTGAAATACTGCCTGTGTAGGTACAGTGATATAACTGAAATACTGTCTGTGTAGGTACAGGTGGCACACCGTGATATAACTGAAATACTGCCTGTGTAGGTACAGTGATATAACTGAAATACTGTCTGTGTAGGTACAGGTGGCACACCGTGATATAACTGAAATACTGCCTGTGTAGGTACAGTGATATAACTGAAATACTGTCTGTGTAGGTACAGTGATATAACTGAAATACTGCCTGTGTAGGTACAGGTGGCACACCGTGATATAACTAAAATACTGCCTGTGTAGGTACAGTGATATTACTGAAATACTGTCTGTGTAGGTACAGGTGACACACCGTGATATAACTGAAATACTGCCTGTGTAGGTACAGCTGAGACACTGTGATATAACTGAAATACTGCCTGTGTAGGTACAGTGATATAACTGAAATACTGTCTGTGTAGGTACAGTGATATAACTTAAATACTGTCTGTGTAGGTACAGGGATATAACTGAAATACTGTCTGTGTAGGTACAGAAGACCAAGCAGCTGTGTCACCTGTTATGGAGTCTGAGACGGACAGAATCATCTGGGTATGACGACGACATCCTTCCCAACCTGTGAGTCGCATTCCAACCTTCACACTATCTTCCACACTTTACACTGTATTCCACACTTCACACTATCTTCCACACTTTACACTGTATTCCACACTTCACACCGTAGTCCACACTTCACACTGTATTCCACACTTCACACTGTATTCCACACTTCCACTTCACACTGTATTCCTCACTTTACACTGTATTCAACACTTCACACTGTATTCTTCACTTCACACTGTATTTCAGTGTTCACACCATAGTTCACACTTCACACTGTCTTCCACACTTTACACTGTATTCAACACTTCACACTGTATTCCACACTTTACACTGTCTTGCACACTTTAAACTGTATTCCACACTTCATACTGTATTCCACACTTCATACTGTATTCCACACTGCCACTTCACACTGTATTCCACACTTTACAATGTATTCCACACTTTACACTGTATTCCACACTTTACACTATTCAACACTTCACACTGTATTCCACACTTTACGCTGTATTCCACACTTTACACTGTCATCCTCACTTCACCTTGTATTCCTCACTTCACACTGTATTCCACACTTCACACTGTATTCCACACTTCACACTGTATTCCTCACTTCACACTGTATTCCACACTTCACACTTTAGTTCACACTTTACACTGTATTCCACACTTCACAATTTATTTCACACTTCACACTGTATTCCTCACTTTACACTGTATTCAACACTTCACACTATTCTTCAATTCACACTGTATTCCAGTGTTCACACCATAGTTCACACTTCACACTGTCTCCACATTTTACACTGTATTCAACACTTCACACTGTATTCCACACTTCACACTGTATTCCTCCTGCACTTCACACTGTATTCCACACTTCACACTGTATTCCACACTTCACACTGTATTTCACATTTTACACTGTATTCCACACTTCACACTTTATTTCACACTTTACACTGTATTCCTCCTGCACTTCACACTGTATTCCACACTTCACACTGTATTCCTCACTTCACACTTTAGTTCACACTTTACATTGTATTCCTCCTGCACTTCACACTGTATTCCAGTGTTCACACCATAGTCCACACTTCACTCTGTCATCCACACTTCACACTTTAGTTCACACTTTACACTGTCTTCCACACTTCACACTGTATTCCACACTTCACACTGTATTCCACACTTCACACTGTATTCCTCCTGCACTTCACACTGTATTCCACACTTCACTCTGTATTCCTCCTGCACTTCACACTGTATTCCACACTTCACTCTGTATTCCTCCTGCACTTCACACTGTATTCCAGTGTTCACACCATAGTCCACACTTCACACTGTATTTAACACTTCACACTGTATTCCACACTTCTCACTTCTTGCCTTGACATGTGAGGTTATGTGCATAAATTAAATGATCACCTGATTCATTTCACGCCACAGTATATATTCCTACATCAGGAATGTTTATCAATCTTGTCATTTTTGTCTGTTTTAATATGTTCAACTGTTTTTGGTTTAACTATTGTAGATAAAACATGTTTTACATTGTCGAATATAATTATAAGCATTGACTGTGTATTGTTTTCGGTTCATCCTTTTTTCGATTTATACCTCAATGAACAAAAAAAATACAAGGTCAATCCTTAAATATTTATGACTGATCAATGAATCCCCATTAAGTTGAATACCTAGAGGACTGTCCCTGTAAAAAGATAGATAGATAGATAGATAGATAGATAGATAGATAGATAGATAGATAGATAGATATTCTTTATTTCCTCCAACTGAATGAAGATTACAATATGCAGATATAATAATGTTACATGTTTAACATGAATTGGGGGTATATTTACACATGTTCATAAACATACAAGTTTTTTAGCATTTCCTTAAAAAGCGGCTTACATTCATCAATACTTCTGTGTATAGGTGTGAAGCAGCGGATGACGAGGAGTATGAACTGTTCCAGCTGTACGAGAGACTCTATCTGATGCTGTGTGAACTCTGCTTCCCCTCCCCCCCAGGTGAGCTTCCTCCCCGTCTAAACAACCACAACAACAATCAGATGACCAGTCTGGGGACCAATCAGCAAGAGGCTGTAACCAATTATACGGTACACTACACAGAGATTAACGAAGGGCATCTATTTGATCAGGGGTTATTTAAATATCTATAATAGCTGTGTGTCAGTATATCCAGTTTCTGTCAGTGCAGAAAAATACCAAGTCGGTCATCTGTGAACACGGTTCTTCAGCATCGGACATCAGCTGATTTTCTTACGTCCTTGACACACAAAGACCTCTTGACATGATGTAACTTACCAGGAAGAGAGGATAGTCGGATTGCAGACACAAGGTGGATGTCGTCCCAATATCATTAAAATCAGACCATAGTTCTTGCTACCGCTAAACAAAGATCTGAGGACATCCCATTAGGGGTCACGTCAGCACGACCTTTCATCCAACCAATCAGTGCGTCGCTTACCAGATTATGAAAGTGACAGTCGGAATGTGATTTCTAATCATGCAATCTCTAAAACTTTAACAGAGGGAATTCCGAACGATAGTAACGTGTTTAACGACTGAATCCTTACAATCTAGACCATATATTAGCCAATCCAGAATGTTTTTATTAGAACAGTTAAAGAAAATAACGACACCAATTCTCAAACTGTTTAAAATTATATTCCCAGGATATATATACACAACCAGGCAAAAGAAAATGCCTGCCATTCTATTATCACTCGTGTACAGTGAAATTGCAACCCCTGTGTTCCTTAAGACGTCATGTGCACGTCACCTGTTGTGAGACACTCATTGATATGATGCATGTAGTATCGCCTAAGATACCCAAAGCAAATATATCTCCATCGAATAACCATTTCTTGTTTGTTTCATTTTTAACCACCATTAAACATGGGTGTATACTTACTTTTGCCCGGCAGTTTACACAAGTTACAATTACTTCCCAATCATTCGATCACTGAGACGATTGGAACATGGTGGTCGCAATTACAAATTGCACAGTGAGGTGAGGTTAAATGGGGTTTACCGTCGCGTCCACGATTATTGCACTTTTATAGCGATGTGTGTGTGTGTGTGTGTGTGTGTGTGTGTGTGTGTGTGTGTGTGTGTGTGTGTGTGTGTGTGTGTGTGTGTGTGTGTGTGTGTGTGTGTGTGTGTGTTAAATGGGGGTCTGTTGGATATTACATAAAACATTCATCTTGAGCGGGATGGTACGTAGTTCGGGTTGGACAAGCATGTTAACTATGATTTTCTTAAGGTAGAGAATGCCGCGCATGAATGTATTAATGTGATTCCCAGGTACATGGGGGCTTTTCGGCAGGAATATCCATATAGAGGAGACTTAAATGGGGATCGGGTGAACATAATGTGGTACCTGGTAGATTGTGTGTCATCAAACCTGTTAACTTTGGTCTTTGACTGATTGTGGCGTAAAACACACTTATTCATTTACTTGCATCGGAAATTGAATGTTCATCTTAATTGTTATTGCTGAACACGTAATATAATTTTAAAGAAATAAAACAGTGACATAATAACTACAACTTTATGTGAGTACGAGTAGCTCTATTGGAGATTGAGAAGGAGATGAATAAGGGTTATAAAGTAGGCTTCTTCACAACCGTGTAACCATGAATTGACTTTATTGGGTAATCCAAAAAGACATATCGACCTAAAATAGCCAAATATCATACGATTTCACTTGTCCACCATCTTGGATGCAAGGCGAAAACATTTCAGCGAGTGTGAAGTTACTGAGAATGCCCCCTCAGAGTTGGACGCACATTTTGTGGTAGCGCGGTGGTGTTGACCAGAGGCTGTCAGCAGTATTTCCTGTCCAGGTTATTTAGGTCCGTTGTGTGTGTGTGCGTGCGTGCGTCCGTGTGTGTATGTGTGTGTGTGAGGGGGCATGGGGGGGGGGGGGGGAGAGTGGGGGTGATAGATGATGGATTTAACAACAAGTAAGGTCATCTTGGGCAGGACGGTTTTCGTAGATGGATTAGCATTGGCTCCAAATCGAAAAATGTTTGGTTCAGAATGCTCCATGTGACCTAAGGAGTCGTCCTGCAAAGTCTGAGACTCCTACGACGATTTGACGTTTTTGGTCGAAAATGCGCTAAGTCCAACACCCATGCACTCAAATGGCACTCGGATGTCAAACATGTCGCAGCGCATTGAAACTTTGCATGCGGGTAGACCTTGACCTCGCGGACACGTTTTCACCGTCCTTGACCCCAGATCACCTCTGTGAGCGGAGCTATGGGCTCTCTTTAAGTAGAAAATAAAGATCCACGATGTTCGACCTGGTAGAAGTGTGTAATCAAACCGCACAGCATTGGTCTTTGATTGACTGTGGCGTCAAAACAAACTCATTTATGTACTTGATCTGAATGTTCATCTTAATTTTTATGGATAGTCACGGAGCCGTGATCCAGAGAACAGGGGGTCATTAGATAAAAATGAAGTAATAATAGGATTACCAGAAAAACGGGGTATAACACCCAAGCCAATAAGCTTCGCTCAGGAACACCAGAGTAAGTCAGTACAAGATTGAAAACTGCCCCATAAGTAAGTATGACAGGCTAGTTGGGTATTGCTACTTGTATATGTGAAAACAAAGTTATTAAAATGAATAGCAAAACTGATGAAAGTCACCTGACCAAAAGTAAGCTTATATGTCATGGCCTGTTTGTCTAGCATCAGTCAGTGGGTTTCGGGATGCATGCTAAATATATTCTCCAACGAAACCACTGAAATTTACATACTTGACACCCAAATTTGTTCAAGAGGTTTGAATCCGGTTTTCAATATGGTCACCACGGCAGCCTTGAAAAGGATCTTTTGGGCCATTACTTAATTTCTTTACTATATGCTCTGAGGAAAGTTGGTATTTGTTGCATAGTTGTGGGATTCAGCACATATGTTCTGGTTTTTTTTAAAGAAAATAGCAAACCTGATGAAAGTCAGCTGACCGAAAGTAAGCTTATATGTCATGGCCTGTTTGTCTAGCATCAGTCAGTGGGTTTTGGGATGCATGCTAAATATATTCTCCAATGAAACCACTGAAATTTACATACTTGACACCCAAATTTGTTCAAGAGGTTTGAATCCGGTTTTCAATATGGCCACCACGGCAGCCTCGAAAAGGATCTTTTGGGCCAATTGACTTAATTTCTTTACTATTTGCTCTGATGAAAGCTGGTATTTGTTACATAGTTTTGGGATTCAGCACATATGGGTTTTTTTATGCAACAAGTTTTGTTGAGCAGATGTCTTTGTTGACCATTTTAAGACTTCATTAAAAAGCCAGGTCAGCCACAGTACCGTGGCACAACTTCTTCACTGTTTGGATGAAATTTAAAATTTGTTTTCCTTCCAGGTTTCCAGACCTATTTCACAGCTCTCGGCTTCCGCTGTCTGCACTTGAGGTACGTCCTGTCTGCAGCTCTCCTTCATCTTAATTTCAAGTGATATACGAAAATAAAAAATCCTTTGTCATGATGCTAGCAGACATATGAAAATCAAACATGGCGCACTTCACCCGACCTCAGAATAACTTATTGCCATTTTAATATGAACAAAGCTAACATTGCCTTCATACATATGCCTTGGCGACAGTTGACGATCTTCTCAATCAAAGAATGTTTCATTTGTAATTTTCCATTTAATATGATGAGAGAAAAACTAAAATAAAGATCATGAATTCTGATAGCAATATTTATACATAAGTGCAAAGTTCACCTGTTGTCATGTTACGATTCAGATTGTTTTTGCTTATAGTTAATTAAAAGTTGCTAGTTTTTAGAAATTAAGGAACTTGAGTGTTTACTTTTCATTAGGTAACCAAAAATTATGATCGAATGTGAATTAAGGAACTTGAGTGTTTACTTTTCATTAGGGAACCAAAAATTATGATCGAATGTGAAAAATGATGAAATAATTAACTATCAGACTGCATGCCGCTCAAAGTGAAGTGCCAAAAGTCAACAATGGCCGTTTCTGGTAGTTGTGTGCCGCGAAATTTGTCCAGTACTTTCTTAACTCACCATGTTTTCTTTTTGAGGTAAATAAACTATAGATAGTTTTGATATTTTGTAAGCTGAGCATCTACGCATACCAAACATAATTTAAATGACACGTAAAACCTACTTGAAAAATAGTTAGTGCAAGTTTTATTTTGGGGTGTCGTTGTGCTATTCGCCTGTCGAATGAGTTTGACAGTAGCAACACGGCTATTGACAATCTTTTTTGAAAGGGTTTGACAGTAGCATTGAGAGCATAATAAAGCAATACACTGATGACCAGGGGAATGACGACAACCACAGGTGATAGGGTTATGCTGTGTGATAATGACGACATTAAGCTGTTACATAAGTACTTGTTGCATAATGTGTAATTAGGATCCCTAAAAAAGAAGGGTAATTTCTGTTTTGAGCACATGAAGACATATTTGCATGTTTCGAAGTTCCTGGAGTGTTTGTTGAACATGTGGTTGACGTCGAAGGTGCCGATCCATCTCATCCCACATGTGCTTGATTGATGAGAGATCAGGGGAGTGAGCCAGCCAGGGGATGACATTCACGTTGTTTTGTTGAAGAGAATCCTGAACAAGTCGAGCAATATGAGGCCAAGCATTTTCAAGTTGAAAGGTAATGCCTGGGCCATGACGACGCAAAAACGGTAGAACAACAGGGCCAATGATCTCGTCGCGGTAGCGCTGTCCATTGAGATTTCCCTCTACCACTATCAAACCGGTCCTCTGCCTTGCTGTAATCCCACCCCATACCATGTAATGCCGCCCCTGAACCCATCTTCTTCCGTGACTCAATGATTGATGTAACGTTCACCTCGACATCGGTACACTCGAATCCGTCCATCGCTGTGGCTGAGGTGAAAACTAGACTCGTCAGTAAATAGAACTTGTCCCAACTGCATGGCCGTCCAGCATAGACGCTGTCTGCACCACTGTAGATGTGCTTGACGGTGGTTTCCTGTCAAAATTGGATGTCTGGCGGTTCTTCTGGTGACAATCCCTGCACATCTGAGGCGGCGACATACGGTTTGTGAAGATATTCGTCGAAGGCCAGGGATGCTTCTTGCAGTCACTGTTTCTGGCTGGAATCGATTTCGTAGGTGTGTTGTTCGAATTCAGTTGGTTTCGATTATTCGTTACGCGTGGCCTGCCACTTCGAGGATTGTCTCTGACTGCATTTGTCTGTTGCCAACGTTACCATAAACACCAAATGGTGTTTCTGTGGATGTTAAATTGTCTTGCAACATCCAGTGACTCAATCCTGCTTCAAGCATGCCAATGGCTCGCAGACGCTCATTTTCAGACAGGCGTGGCATTTCGTAATGTTGTATAATTGGTAATTTTGTTGTTTTTCTCAGTGGTTGTTGTCAGCACGGTGCTAAACAATGCATATGGAATCCCGTTAATGCACATGTTTTTATACCCATTCTTGGGTAGTGAAATGCAATGGGCTTGCATAAAAGTCAACTCTTGCATGGAATGCATGCTTTTCTGTAGCAGTTGCGTTTTTATGACTTGATTCCATACATGTACTACAATACTGAAAACCAAATTTTACTTGTTTGAAAAATACACTAAAATATTGGTGTCACAGGAACTTTTGTTGTTGAGTATACTATAATTTTTACCAATGTAATCTGTTTCGGCAGTTAATAGAGATTGACAATTCTCTGGTGTTGACGCTATATATTTATTCAAGCTACAGACTACGGAGTTACCACAATCATTCTGTCCTCCAGACAAACACTTGTTCAGGGTTTTTTATCATACGTAGTTTTTCAATTTCTCAACTGAGACTTAAAAATCAAGGTTTAAAGTCTGTAATTCTTCATAAAGTTATTTATCTGGGGAGTTACATGGACAATATATATAGAATTTTCTAAGAGTCAATCATTCCGACACATTTCATGTTTAGTGAATATGTTTGACATTGTATCAGCAATCTTTCAGTTTCAAGCAAGGACATTGTATGGTATATTTTAGTATTGTTAATAATGAGCTTAAATATTTCTACATATTGTTGAATTTATATGGTACCCCAGAGGCTTCAACAGGTTATTATAACATCAGTTGTAAGCATGGTGTCTTCTTATATACCAGCGTTGTTTTTAGAGAGTAATATTACTGATTTAATGTTTGGTATAACAGAATATATATATGTTTTTGTTTGGACCAAATTCATTTCATCGAATACTTTAATATACAAATAGGCAATTTTGGTAGGGTGTTCAGGGTAGCATTTGTCGTGCTGAACTCTTTACTAATTGTATGTTGGAGAATATGGTATGATATTGTAGTATGTTGGAGAATATGGTATGATATTGTAGTATGTTGGAGAATATGGAATGATATTGTAGTATGCTAGAGGATATGGAATGATATTGTAGTATGTTGGAGGATATGGAATGATATTGTAGTATGCTAGAGGATATGGAATGATATTGTAGTATGTTGGAAGATATGGAATGATATTGTAGTATGTTGGAGGATATGGAATGATATTGTAGTATGTTGGAGAATATGGAATGATATTGTAGTATGTTGGAGGATATGGAATGATATTGTAGTATGTTGGAGGATATGGAATGATATTGTAGTATGTTGGAGGATATGGAATGATATTGTAGTATGTTGGAGGATATGGAATGATATTGTAGTATGATGGAGGATATGGAATGATATTGTAGTATGTTGGAGGATATGGAATGATATTGTAGTAGTATGTTGGAGAATATGGAATGATATTGTAGTATGTTGGAGGATATGGGATGATGTTGTAGTATGGTGGAGGATATGGAATGATTTTGTAGTAGCGTATAGTATGTTTGAGAATATGGAATGATATTGTAGTATGTTGGAGAATATGGATGACATTGTAGTATGTTGGAGGATATGGAATGATATTGTAGTATGTTGGAGGATATGTAATGATATTGTAGTATGTTGGAGGATATGGAATGATATTGTAGTATGTTGGAGAATATGGAATGATATTGTAGTATGTTGGAGAATATGGATGACATTGTAGTATGTTGGAGGATATGTAATGATATTGTAGTATGTTGGAGAATATGGATGACATTGTAGTATGTTGGAGGATATGTAATGATATTGTAGTATGCTAGAGGATATGTAATGATATTGTAGTATGTTGGAGGATATGGAATGATATTGTAGTATGTTGGAGAATATGGAATGATATTGTAGTATGTTGGAGAATATGGATGACATTGTAGTATGTTGGAGGATATGGAATGATATTGTAGTATGTTGGAGGATATGGAATGATATTGTAGTATGTTGGAGGATATGGAATGATATTGTAGTATGTTGGAGAATATGGGATGATATTGTAGTATGTTGGAGGATATGGAATGATATTGTAGTATGATGGAGGATATGGAATGATATTGTGGTATGTTGGAGGATATGGAATGATATTGTAGTAGTATGTTGGAGAATATGGAATGATATTGTAGTATGGTGGAGGATATGGAATGATATTGTAGTATGGTGGAGGATATGGAATGATATTGTAGTATGGTGGAGGATATGGAATTATATTGTAGTATGGTGGAGGATATGGAATGATATTGTAGTATGTTGGAGGATATGGGATGATATTGTAGTATGTTGGAGGATATGGAATGATGTTGTAGTATGGTGGAGGTTGTGGAGTGATTTTGTAGTATGGTGGAGGATATGGAATGATATTGTAGTATTGTGGAGGATATGGAATGATTTTGTAGTATGTTGGAGGATATGGGATGATGTTGTAGTATGGTGGAGGATATGGAATGATTTTGTAGTATGGTGGAGGATATGGAATGATATTGTAGTATGGTGGAGGATATGGAATGATTTTGTGGTATGTTGGAGGATATGGGATGATGTTGTAGTATGGTGGAGGATATGGGATGATGTTGTAGTATGGTGGAGGATATGGAATGATATTGTAGTATGTTGGAGGATATGGAATGATGTTGTAGTATGTTGGAGGATATGGGATGATGTTGTAGTATGGTGGAGGATATGGAATGATATTGTAGTATGTTGGAGGATATGGAATGATATTGTAGTATGTTTGAGGATATGGAATGATATTGTAGTATGTTTGAGGATATGGAATGATGTTGTAGTATGTTGGAGGATATGGGATGATGTTGTAGTATGTTGGAGGATATGGGATGATGTTGTAGTATGTTGGAGGATATGGGATGATGTTGTAGTATGTTGGAGGATATGGGATGATGTTGTAGTATGTTGGAGGATATGGGATGATGTTGTAGTATGGTGGAGGATATGGAATGATTTTGTAGTAGCGTATAGTATGTTTGAGAATATGGAATGATATTGTAGTATGTTGGAGGATATGGAATGATATTGTAGTATGTTGGAGGATATTAGTAGTTATGGTGTCTTTACATGTTGCACACGAGTGACAAACGAGGTACACACCTGTGTTCAATGTGTTGCACACAGGTGTCACGAACCGTAAAAGATGGGTAGCACAGGTTGCGGATGTGTTGCCCATACGTGTAACTTGGTGTAAGGCAAATGAATTTCTAGAATTACTTGTTGACATAGAATCGTCAAATAAGAACAAATATGACTTTTAACGAGTCAAAGTATGGCATTTATGACATATGTATCCATTCTCTGTCAACTAAAGTTCGTTTCAAGGCGTCAATAGCGGTAATCTGATCATGGTTGCTGTTAATAAGGGTGAGTTGTGCGATCTTCTGATCACTTCACACACGATTTCGCCAAAATTAATTTAAACAATATTAAAAGGAGTTTTGAATAAAATTAATGAAATAAGTTACAAACATAAATCCAGATATACAAAGAACACTTTTTATAGCCAGACAGTGTAATTACATGATTAATTTGCGTACTTCAGTATGGATTTGTTGATATGGTATTTCCGGTGTAACGTGCTCACGGTAATGTCTTTCCGTGGGGGAAAAAAACATCCAAACTCATAATTCGTGAATAATGCGCGCTCCCTCCTACACAACTGTGGTTTTTTGGAAAGAAAAGTGTGCACTATACTCAAAAAAATACGGTAGTCTGCTAGCCAGAGACTACTAAATTGTGCTGAGGACAAGTCAAAACCCAAGAATGGTAGTCCTCTTTGACTAGCTTTTGATGTCTATAATTCTAAGCCAGCTCTCAATGCTTTAGTTTTGCTACAAATTGGAACCTTTTAAAACTGATGGAAAACTAAACATTTTTGTCTCGTTCAAGCAGGACTCGCTACAAAACCAGAGGACTAGTGGAATAAGGTTTACATCCATTAGTCCTCTGGAATAGTCTTAAAAAGGACTATTTCCTAGACTGTCACAGGTTTCACCTAAGTGGTAAACATCAGAGACACGTCAGGCTTTCCCCCTGCATCAAGCTGACATGGTGTTAAGAAATACTGTTCAAAGCATCGTTTAACCAAAGTCACTCACTCACTTAATAACTGCTTGAACAGAGCTCAGTGTTCCAGTGCTTGCTCATTCACTCACTCACTCACTCACTCACTCACTCACTTACTCACTCACTCACTCACTCACTCACTCAGTCACTCACTCACTCACTCACTCACTCACGCACTCACCCACTCACTCACGCACTCACTCACTCACTCACTCACGCACGCACGCACGCACGCACGCACTCACTCACTCAGTCACTCACACTCACTCACTCACTCACTCACTCACTCACTCACTCACTCACTCACTCACTCTCTGCAGGTTGTTTCTACAGTATGTGGACCGAGGAGTCTTGTCCCTCACTGGCCAGTTTGTCACACAGCTTCTTGCAGGTGAGATGTAAGACATGAAGGGGTTTGCTCCTCCTCTCCAATAATTTACTTTTACTCCATAACTTGAAGAAACATGGAGTTGGCAACCTCAAATAGGAGTTGTTTCAGTCAAGAGATATAGATATTGCCAGACACCCTCAGTACAGAGGTGTTTGTGTTATGAAGACATGGAATTGGAGACCTCAAAAAGGAGGGGTTTCTGTCAGGAGATATAGATATTGCCAGACACCCTCAGTACAGAGGTGTTTGTGTTATGAAGACATGGAGTTGGAGATGTCAAATAGGAGGGGTTTCTGTCAGGAGATATAGATATTGACAGACACCTTCGATACAGAGGTGTTTGTGTTATGAAGAAACATGGAGTTGGAGACCTCAAAAAAGAGGGGTTTCTGTCAGGAGATATAGATATTGCCAGATACCCTCAATACAGAGGTGTTTGTGTTATGAAGACATGGATTTGGAGACCTCAAAAAGGAGGGGTTTCTGTCAGGAGATATAGATATTGCCAGATACCCTCAATACAGAGGTGTTTGTGTTATGAAGAAACATGGATTTGGCGACCTCAAATAGAAGGGGTTTCTGTCAGGAGATATAGATATTGCCAGACACCCTCAATACAGAGGTGTTTGTGTTACGACTAAACATGGATTTGGAGACCTCAAATAGGAGGGGTTTCTGTCAGGAGATATAGATATTGCCAGACACCCTCAATACAGAGGTGTTTGTGTTATGAAGAAACATGGATTTGGCGACCTCAAATAGGAGGGGTTTCTGTCAGGAGATATAGATATTGCCAGACACCCTCAGTACTGAGGTGTTTTTGTTATGAAGAAACATTGATTTGGAGACCTCAAAATGGAGGGGTTTCTGTCAGGAGATATAGATATTGCCAGACACCCCCAATACAGAGGTGTTTTTGTTATGAAGAAACATTGATTTGGCGACCTCAAATAGAAGGGGTTTCTGTCAGGAGATATAGATATCGCCAGACACCCTCAATACAGAGGTGTTTGTGTTACGACTAAACATGGATTTGGAGACCTCAAATAGGAGGGGTTTCTGTCAGGAGATATAGATATTGCCAGACACCCTCAATACAGAGGTGTTTGTGTTATGAAGAAACATGGATTTGGCGACCTCAAATAGGAGGGGTTTCTGTCAGGAGATATAGATATTGCCAGACACCCTCAGTACAGAGGTGTTTTTGTTATGAAGAAACATTGATTTGGCAACCTCAAAAAGGAGGGGTTTCTGTCAGGAGATATAGATATTGACAGACACCTTCGATACAGAAATACCAGCACTGTAGGATGGAAATGTGGTACATATGCTTTTGATATAATTTTAATATAAGTTGGACGAAATCAGCAATTACAAACTTGAAAAGCATGTTGCAAATGATAGATGAGAGAGATTCATTCATTCATATACCTTGATAACAATCCTTTATCTATCAAAATCACATCTAGGTCCACTGGCTTCACCAGCGTAGGAAATTGGCAGGCCATGTGTTACATTGCCTAACTCATTAAGCTGGCACGCTATGACATAACTCAAATACCGTCAATAGTGGTGATTTGACCCAACTTCCACTAATTCTGATTGCTTTTCCAGATGTGCCTGATTGTGACGAGGATAAAGAAAATTCAGAGATCAAATACCAGATCATTTCCAGATTGCCAAAGGTACGATAATTAGATGCATGGATTGCACTACGATTGGAGTGGTGATTTGATCGGTTTGGAGTCAGAGTTTGGAGGACCCTGGACTATAGAGCTGGGTATCGCTTGATATCTTGCAATAAGATACATATCACGATACAGACTGACGATACAAAACAACAAATAAAATGACATGATGAAATCCCTGAAATACAACTCATACATACATTTATTTATTATTACCTCAAAACCTTTAACAGACAAAAAACAAGACCAAAACAGTTGTTTTAAATGAAGGGATGGTTATTAAATGTGTTAGTAGGCCACTATTACCACCACGTCCTTGAGTTCCGCCATGCTTACAGGTGGCGCTGTGCTACTTCCTCCTCTATGGGGGGCGGTCAGGTAGCCTAGTGGTTGAAGCGTTCACTGGTCACGCCGAAGACCTAGGTTCGATTCCCGACATGGGTACAATGTGTGAAGCCCATTTCTGGTGTCCCCCGCCGTGATATTGCTGGAACCATACTCACTCACTCACTCCTCCTTTATAGGAGGTAATTCCATCAGTTCCTGTTCTATTTGTAGCTTATTGTGATTTGACAATCTGACGATTTAAGTATCGTGTGTACCTATGTATTGATGATACCATAGGTATCGGTGAATCGCTACAGCCCAAGTGGATTAGTGCCATAGTTTAAGATTTAACACCTAACTACAATGTACAAAGTCTCAGTCTAATGTCCCCTGCAGTGATTTAGCCTGTATACTGTAAATCAGCCTTGTGTCCATTGCAGTGATTTAGCCTGTATACTGTAAATCAGCCTTGTGTCCATTGCAGTGATTTAGCCTGTATACTGTAAATCAGCCTTGTGTCCATTGCAGTGATTTAGCCTGTATACTGTAAATCAGCCTTGTGTCCATTGCAGTGATTTAGCCTGTATACTGTAAATCAGCCTTGTGTCCATTGCAGTGATTTAGCCTGTATACTGTAAATCAGCCTTGTGTCCATTGCAGTGATTTAGCCTGTATACTGTAAATCAGCCTTGAGTCCATTGCAGTGATTTAGCCTGTATACTGTAAATCAGCCTTGTGTCCATTGCAGTGATTTAGCCTGTATACTGTAAATAGGGCGAGAACAATTATATTGAATCTTAGGAACCCTGGTTAGAATGGGTCCCAAGCACTTTATACCACTTGGTGCAATAGTGAGTGAGTTGGGTTTAAAGCCGCTTTTAACAGTATTCCAGTTATATCTCGGCATGTCAGCTAAATGTGGGAGGAAAGCCTGAAGTGATGCAGGTCTCAGACGTTTACCACTTCGGTGAAACCCACGAGCACGGGTATGGTGCTGACAAACCTAGAAACATAATCGGGGCGAACCGGGATTCGAACCCACAATCATAGGGACACAACTCTGCACAGCGATTCGCGGCGCCTTAGACGACTGGGCCACCCGTGCCCCCCTTGGTGCAATAACAACTATATTGAATCATAGGAACCCGTTAGAATTGGTCCCAAGCACTTAAATTGCTCAGCGCAAGAACAACTGTATCAGATTGGATGGTTAAGTTTGTTGATTTGGTGTGTCATCGTACAATGTGGAATGCTGCTCATGATATCAATCACTGGATGGATTATTTACAGGCTGAAGTAATATTGCTGGACTGTTGCCGACTCATGTGAAACACCAAACATATTATGACCATTTTAAAAAACATTCCAATGATCATGGGTTTTACCAAAATGATAGATGTTTTTGAGTGCTATTTGGGCTTGACTGACAGCTTTGTTAAGTCGAATCCGTCAACTTTAGTTTCCAGGAATGGAGAAGTTTGTTTCAAGTGTGCCACACGGCACTAAAAGAGATGTTTGGGCATGCCCCTTGTAATTTAAGTGAGTGAGTTTGGTTTTATGCCGCTTGTAGCAATATTCCACCAATATCACAGCGGAGGACACCAGAAATGGTCTTCTCACATTGGACTCATGGCAAATCAAAACTGAGCCTTTGGCGTGACAAGCGAACGCTTTAACCATTAGGCTACCCCACCACCAATTTAGATTTAAATGTGCCACCCAGAATATATTTCAAAGAAAAAGGTTTATGTGCAAAGTTTATTTCTCAAATGTGTTACATAATTATGATCATCACAAGGCTTTCGTTACATTTTTACATGTGATTACTAAACGTGCCATTAGAGCATGGGGAACTTAGTTCAGCCGTGCCACTGTGATGTTAACTATGCCATTGGTGCTACAATACAAGAATGTTGTCCCCTGTTTTTTTGTGGTGTTCATTAGTTGTGGTGGTGTTATGTGTTCCAGACACTAGCTGAAGAGTGTTTCCGCCTCTGGAACCATCCCCTGTGTGACCGTTACTTCGCCCATCAGCAGGTGACGGAGATACTACTAGAAGGTAATCTGTCTCAACTACTTATCTATATCTAGTTCACCTATACATTGTTTATGTGAGCTTATATTTTAAGGTTCATACAGGCAGGAAAAGGCCTTGAATTTTAATGTCTCTCTTGAACAGCCTTGAATTTTAAGGCCTCTCTTGAAAAGCCTTGAATTTTAAGGTCTCTCTTGAAAAGCCTTGAATTTTAATGTCGCTCTTGAAAAGCCTTGAATTTTAAGGTCACTCTTGAAAAGCCTTGAATTTTAAGGTCTCTCTTGAAAAGCCTTGAATTTTAAGGTCCCTCTTGAAAAGCCTTGAATTTTAAGGTCCCTCTTTAAATCCTTGAATTTAAGTGTTAATCTTGAAAAGCCTTGAAAAATACAAAACTATCTTGAAAAGCCTTGAATGTGTCCAAAATGACATAAACTATAAAAGTATTAAAATTCACGACAGACATCCAATGACAGACAGCAATGTTTGTTGTGTTTACAATTTTTTTTTGTTCTGGTTAACGCTGCACTCACCAATATTCCAACTATGTGATGCTGGTCTGTAAATAATTGAGTCTGGAACAGACAGTCCAGTGATTGACATCATGAGCATCGATCCACGCAATTCGAATACAATGACATGCATCAACCAAGTCAGCGAGTCTGACCACCCAATCCCGTAAGTTGCCTCTTACGACAAGGATAGTTGCCTGTTACAGCAAGAATGGGTTGCTGAAGACCTATTCTACCCTGAATCTTAGCTGTGTTTATGAAGATGAGATAGTTTGAAATGTCCATTGACTGTCCAGTACATTTGTTTACGGCCTAATTAATTAGGTTAGAATTAATTTAAAATATTCCAGCATAGCCTTAAATTTAAGCAATCATCGCCAAGGTTTGTGGTGAACATGGAAGATACCCACTAGAAATTATCGTAAACAATTGATTTTTATTGGAGTAAAGTTTTACTTCAACAGTATAAACTGGCAGATGCACTATATGGGCTTGTGTATAAGACGCATCAACGTAACAGTAATTGTGACTTCCCCACTTTTAACTTGTATTCAAGCTCTTCAGGAGAGCACAGGGTTAAATTATCTGCAGTTATCGTAATCATTTACTAGCATTTAATGGTAGAAGTATACAGTTAGAACATTTCTGAAAGATCAATATTATAAAGTGAGTGAGTGAGTGAGTATGGTTTTACGCCGCTTAAGCAATATTCCAGCAATATCACGGCGAGGGACACCAGAAATGGGCTTCACACATTGTACCCATGTCGGGAATCGAACCCTGGTCTTCGGCGTGACGAGCGAACGATTTAACCACTAATTTGACAAATTTTCAAATTAAACTGTGACAAAACTGAAGTTCTTCTCTATGTGCAACAACGCCATCAGGGTGAGCTATCCTAGTCTCAACTTCGGAGGCAATATGATCGTTCCAGGCAAAGAAGTTTGTAACTACTTTGTTCCGATCAAGACTCAAAACCTATCTTTTCACCAAATCTTTCTTGGAGTATTGAGGCTTTGTGTTTTCCTAGGTGTGTAATGTCTCTTTTTCTGTAGACTCAAATGAAGTGCTTTTGAGCAGTTCTCCGAACTGGATACCAGCGCTATATAAATCTGTAGTTATTATAATTATTATTATTATTATTGAGATTCATAGTGGTACACACACGTTTAGGCCCTACATGACTTCAGGTTTTTCTCCCACATAAAACAGACACATGCTGTAGCTGAAGTACTGTTCCCATCAGCATAAAAATCCACTCTGTCATTGGTGCTCACATGCATGGTTTTAGGATGAAAAGAATTTTCTCCTAAGTGAGCTGATATGTAGGGGCTACATCATGTTCAGCCTGATATGGGGGCGGTCGGGTAGCCTAGTGGTTAAAGCGTTCGCTCGTCACGCCGAAGACCCGGGTTCGATTCCCGACATGGGCACAATGTGTGAAGCCCATTTCTGGTGTCCCCCGCCGTGATATTGCTGGAATATTGCTAAAAGCGGCGTAAAACCATACTCACTCACTCAGCCTGATATGATACTGAGAACAGTGAACACACAATGCCAGTTAGAATCCCGGACGGTAGTATGAGAATCTATACTTTACTCAGAAAGTGTTGTCCCAAATATAACGTGTTACATATGATGCTTAGAGTTGTGTTTAGTGATGCTGATGCTGATCTGATGCTAGAAAGGGGGCACGCGTGGCCCAGTCGTCTAAGGCGCCGCGATTTGCTGTGCAGAGTTGTGTCACGCCAGAAACCTATGATTGTGGGTTCGAATCCTGGTTCGCCCCAATTATGTTTCTAGGTTTGTCAGCATCATACCCATGCTCGTTGGTTTCACCGAAGTGGTAAACGTCTGAGACCTGCATCACTTCGGGCTTTCCTCCCACATTAAGCTGACGTGATATAACTCACGTGCATCACTCACTGATGCTAGAAATGTATCCCTGCAACACGTGTAATCCATAACTGCTGGCAATAATGAGGTGAGGTGAAATTGGGTTTCACGTCTTGTCCAAGATTGTTGCTCTTATATAGCGATGTGCTTGCACGTGTTTGTGTGTGTGTGTGTGTGTGTGTGTGTGTGTGTGTGTGTGTGGCTGCTTGTACTAGTCCGGACTGATGCCGATTAATAGTTCTAGCAGACTGAGATACCATGCCGCAGTTTAACATGAATACCCCACTCAGACACAATACTGACTCCAAGCCGATATGTCCTTGTTTCAAGCCCTTAATGCCGAGGGCCAGGCAGGGTAACAATAAGTACCATCTTTTAATGTCTTTTGATATAACGCGGCCGGGGATCGAACCCCGGACCTTCCGCTCTCCGGGCGGACACTCTACCACTAGACCACGGAGGCGGTCCAATAACGAAGCGAAATCTGTCATCTGCAAACAAATACATGGGGGGTGATTTGTGCGGATGATAATTATTGAAGTTTCTTTTAAGCACTAAACTTTGGCCATAATAAACAAGAGTGCACATTTGATACCATGCTATGTTTACCTTACTCGTTAAATGTCACCACATCTATCTCTCGCTATGCAGAGTTGCCTCCCTTTGTTGCATGCCTGAATACTATGATTGTCAGTTTGAATCCCAGTTCACCCTGATCGATTTTGGTTATCAGCACCATACCCATTTTCATGGCTTTAACCAAAATGGTAACGTCTGAAATCTTCATCACGGTTTTCGTCTCATATAACGCCGAGTCACCATGATACTATGGAAATACTGTTCATAATATCTTTAAAACCACTCACTCACTCACTCACTCACACGTATGCCATTCAACTTATTGTAGTGAGAACATTAGACTTTCATTTTCATGTGAATTAATTGCACCATTAAAATAGCTTTGTTCTTTCTTTCTTATCTGTAGGAGCCAAATTAGCAAAAGGGAAAGAAGACACAAGAGAAGGTCTGTCACTTAAGGATAGATGTAAGATATCTTTTAACAACATTCATAAGGTTTTTGTGGTCTGGGTACCTGTGTCAGGTGGTAGGGCTGGGTGGTTGTGGGTACCTGTGTCAGGTGGTTGATGGTACCTGTGTCAGGTGGTAGGGCTGGATGGTTGTGGGTACCTGTGTCAGGTGGTAGGGCTGGGTGGTTGTGGGTACCTGTGTCAGGTGGTTGATGGTACCTGTGTCAGGTGGTAGGGCTGGGTGGTTGTGGGTACCTGTGTCAGGTGGTTGATGGTACCTGTGTCAGGTGGTAGGGCTGGGTGGTTGTGGGTATCTGTGTCAGGTGGTTGATGGTACCTGTGTCAGGCGGTTGATGGTACCTGTGTCAGGTGGTAGGGCTGGGTGGTTGTGGGTACCTGTGTCAGGTGGTTGTGTGTACCTGTGTCAGGTGGTAGGGCTCGGTGGTTGTGGGTACCTGTGTCAGGTGGTTGATGGTACCTGTGTCAGGTGGTTGATGGTACCTGTGTCAGGTGGTTGATGGTACCTGTGTCAGGTGGTAGGGCTGGGTGGTTGTGGGTACCTGTGTCAGGTGGTTGTGTGTACCTGTGTCAGGTGGTAGGGCTCGGTGGTTGTGGGTACCTGTGTCAGGTGGTTGATGGTACCTGTGTCAGGTGGTTGATGGTACCTGTGTCAGGTGGTAGGGCTGGGTGGTTGTGGGTACCTGTGTCAGGTGGTTGTGTGTACCTGTGTCAGGTGGTAGGGCTCGGTGGTTGTGGGTACCTGTGTCAGGTGGTTGATGGTACCTGTGTCAGGTGGTTGATGGTACCTGTGTCAGGTTGTATCACATTCAGCCATTATTATTATTAGGACTGATGGCCTACCTAATTGTACTGTAGTTTCAACAGTGGTTCTCCATCAGTAAAAGTTCTGATCTCCTTGCAGCCAGGGACAATGACAGCATGGCCAGTGGATCCAGCAGCCACATGTCCTTCCCTCCACTGGAAATATTCATCCGTCATCTCAAGGACACAACAAAAGGTCAGCGCCTGCAACTTATGCTGCACTGTTGTATGATTTCAGTAAGGAACTGAGAGAAGGAGTTTAGTTTTGCGCCGCTTTTGACAGTATCTAGACATCTCAGCTTGATGATGCGGAAGTGATGCTAATCTTAGAGGTTTATGCCTCTTGGGAGAGTATTTCAGTTATATCACGGCATGTGGGAGGAAAGCCTGAAATGATGCAGATCTTAGATGTTTACCACTTTGATGAAATCCATGAAAATGGGTGTGGTGCTGACAACCCTGGAAACACTCAGGACAAGTTGGGACTCAAAACTCACGATCATATGTTTCTTGCATGCCTAACTGTAGACTGCATATAGCAGCATCTTTGACAACTGGGAGGCGAATTCAGATGTGTGTGTGGTTAGGCCACACTTTGTTTATTGTTTACATATTCTTGCTATTCAATAAATTTGTGTCAGTCAAAATATAAATAAATTTACCTAGATCTGTATTTTAACTTTTATACCTGATTTTTGTATTTGTTGTTTTTGTCATCAATCTTGAACCAATATATTTAAGTTGAAATGGGAAAAAAATAAATAAATATTGACAATTTCACGATTCATAATAATGACGTTCTCACAGACACACAAAATATACACTTGTATATTTTCAATTTGTGTTAAACTTTTAAAACTTCTTTTAATGGCAATGATACTGGGAGGGTAATGAAGATGTCACTTGAATGGAGCTTGACTCAACCCCATGTATATATATATATGTTACAGCTAGTGTAAAGCATCAGGGACGCACTGTGGCAGACTCAGTGGGCATCATGGACGTGGACACTGTGCTGTTGGAGGAGGTGGGACTGCAACATACAAAGACGTCCACACAATACAACATGTCAACTGTAAATTTCTAAACCTGAATATCCTGTGTGACACATGGTCCTGTGCTCAACACAGGTCTCAAATCAGATGAAATTCAACAACGTCGGTCACGGAGCGTCCTTGGATGGGTGACCGTGTTCGGCCGTGTTTCTTGGGATTCGGTTCTGCCCCCACACTGAAGTACATGTAGCACATGTGGTGTAACCTTTGGCAAGTGACTTTGTTTGACATGTGCCTCTGTTCACCCAGCAGAAAATTGGTACCCAGTGGGATGAGAGCGTAATGTGACTGTTAACAAGGCAGCTTGGCTAGTATACTCCCCAGGGAGCTGATAATGACAACCGAGCACGCTCTGATCCATTGACCGGGCTATTGATTTTAGGGCGATGAGCATGCACCGAGTGTATGATGGCTAGTGCAATATAAGTAGAAGATTGCTATTACTTTATGTAGCCTGCTTCTTTCAAAGTTGGAAACTGTTAGGACAAGCTATAATAACAGGGCATTTTAGGCCCATCGGATATGCGTAATACTAGAATGCAGCAAAAGCCGAAGAAATCATATTGAAAGTTTTCAGATGTGTTTAATTCAAAGCCAATTAGACTTTGTTCATTTCATTTTGGCCTTGTTTGTTCATTGTTGCCGTACTAATGTATTTGATCATGTCAGACATGTGGCAAGAGTAATAATGATGAAAGGCTGGATGTCACCGTACAAACATGTCTGATGATGTTGCATGACAACATTCAAGGTATTTCAAAAATGTTATTTCCAGTGACCTAAAAAAGTGCCTTTTCCCCAACCTCCCTCAGTCCCTTTCTTTCAGTTACATGCCCATAGTCCCTTAATTCAGTTATATGCCCAGAGTCCCATATTTAAGCTATATGCCCATATTCCCATATTTCAGTTATATGCCCATAGTCCCTTAATTCAGTTATATGCCCATAGTCCCTTCTTTCAGTTATATGCCCATCGTCCCTTCTTTCAGTTATATGCCCATCGTCCCTTCTTTCAGTTATATGCCCATCGTCCCTTCTTTCAGTTATATGCCCATCGTCCTTTCTTTCAGTTATATGCCCATCGTCCCTTCTTTCAGTTATATGCCCATCGTCCCTTCTTTCAGTTATATGCCCATCATCCCTTCTTTCAGTTATATGCCCATCGTCCCTTCTTTCAGTTATATGCCCATCGTCCCTTCTTTCAGTTATATGCCCATCGTCCCTTCTTTCAGTTATATGCCCATAGTTCTTTCTTTCAGTTATATGCCCATCGTCCTTTCTTTCAGTTATATGCCCATCGTCCCTTCTTTCAGTTATATGCCCATCGTCCCTTCTTTCAGTTATATGCCCATAGTTCTTTCTTTCAGTTATATGCCCATCGTCCTTTCTTTCAGTTATATGCCCATCGTCCTTTCTTTCAGTTATATGCCCATCGTCCCTTCTTTCAGTTATATGCCCATCGTCCCTTCTTTCAGTTATATGCCCAAGTCCTTTCGTTTAGTTATATGCCCATCATCCCTTCTTTCAGTTATATGCCCAAAGTCCTTTCTTTCAGTTATATGCCCATCGTCCCTTCTTTCAGTTATATGCCCAAGTCCTTTCGTTTAGTTATATGCCCATCGTCCCTTCTTTCAGTTATATGCCCATCGTCCCTTCTTTCAGTTATATGCCCATCGTCCCTTCTTTCAGTTATATGCCCAAGTCCTTTCGTTTAGTTATATGCCCATCATCCCTTCTTTCAGTTATATGCCCATCGTCCCTTCTTTCAGTTATATGCCCATCGTCCCTTCTTTCAGTTATATGCCCATCGTTCTTCCTTTCACTTATATGCCCATCGTCCCTTCTTTCAGTTATATGCCCATCGTCCCTTCTTTCAGTTATATGCCCATCGTCCCTTCTTTCAGTTATATGCCCATCGTCCCTTCTTTCAGTTATATGCCCATCGTCCCTTCTTTCACTTATATGCCCATCGTCCCTTCTTTCAGTTATATGCCCATCGTCCCTTCTTTCACTTATATGCCCATCGTCCCTTCGTTTAGTTATATGTCCATTCTTTCAGGCGAATTCCCATTTCCTTTCTTTCAGTCGTGTGCCCATATAGTATGACATTGTCTCAAACTGGAAGTATGTGTGACAAGATATTTATTGTAAACTTCATGATATGAATGAGTATGTATATGACAAGGGCACAAGCAATAAAATTAGGTTCTCATACCTTGTTTTTTCTTCCATTTAACAATGCCATTGTTAACCCCTCATTTTGAAAAATGGGGGGATATAGCAATCAGCCTGTCCGTTCATCCTTCCATCTATTTTCCGTTTCTGGAGCAGAGCTCCAAACCGTTGAATATTTCTGGATGAAACTTGATATACAGATCAGTCTAGTGTTAAAATTGGTGCCTTTTGATGATTTGAGTGAGTGAGTGAGTGAGTGAGTTGGGTTTAATGCCGCTTTTAACATTATTCCAGTTATATCACGGCGTGTCAGCTTAATGTGGGAGGAAAGCCCGAAGTGATGCAGGTCTAAGACGTTTACCACTTTGGTGAAACCCACGAGCACGGGTATGGTGCTGACAAACCTAGAAACATAATCGGAGCGAACCGGGATTCGAACCCACAATCATAGGTTTCTGGCGTGCCCAAGGGACGCAACTCTGCACAGCGAATCGCGGCGCCTTAGACGACTGGGCCACCCGTGCCCCCTTGATGATTTGAGATTTTGATAAATACTGAACAGCATTATTGTTTTCTTAATGTACGCTCCCTGAATGTTGTTGTAGTCACAGGCAAGGACTGAGTGTTGTGTAATGCGACAATTAACAATATTCCAGCCAGTAAATAATCTCAGGCAGACAAACCAGTGATTGAAAGCATGATCCCATGTCCCACGCTGATGGAGTATGTTGACACAGAATCAACCAAGTCCCAGATTCCCATCCGATTATATTCAGTGTGCTTTTACAAGAATAGGTTACTGTGGATCTATTCTGCCCTAGATTCATTACAGGGTCTCAGGGGTACTGAGGATCTCCTCTGCCCTGGAATCACTACAGGGTCACAAGGGTCACAAGGGTACTGAGGGTCTATTCTTGCCCTGGAATCACTATAGGGTCACAAGGGTACTGAGGGTCTATTCTTGCCCTGGAATCACTACAGGGTCACAAGGGTACTGAGGATCTATTCTTGCCCTGGAATCACTACAGGGTCACAAGGGTACTGAGGGTCTATTCTTGACCTGGAATCACTACAGGGTCACAAGGGTACTGAGGGTCTATTCTGCCCTGGAATCACTACAGGGTCACAAGGGTACTGAGGATCTATTCTTGCCCTGGAATCACTACAGGGTCACAAGTGTACTGAGGATCTATTCTTGCCCTGGAATCACTACAGGGTCACAAGGGTACTGAGGATCTCCTGGGCCCTGGAATCACTACAGGGTCACGCAGGTACTGAGGTTCTATTCTTGCCCTGGAATCACTACAGGGTCACAAGGGTACTGAGGATCTCCTCTGCCCTGGAATCACTACAGGGTCACAAGGGTACTGAGGGTCTATTCTTGCCCTGGAATCACTACAGGGTCACAAGGGTACTGAGGATCTTTTCTGCCCTGGAATCACTACAGGGTCACAAGGGTACTGAGGGTCTATTCTTGCCCTGGAATCACTACAGGGTCACGCAGGTCCTGAGGATCTATTCTGCCCTGGAATCACTACAGGGTCTCAGGGGTACTGAGGATCTATTCTTGCCCTGGAATCACTACAGGGTCACAAGGGTATTGAGGATCTCCTCTGCCCTGGAATCCCTACAGGGTCACAAGGGTACTGAGGGTCTATTCTGCCCTGGAATCACTACACGGTCACGAGGGTACTGAGGATCTATTCTGCCCTTGAATCACTGCAGGGTCATAAGGGTACTGAGGATCTCTTCTGCCCTGGAGTCACTAGTTTCACGAGGGTACTGAGGATCTCCTCTGCCCTGGAATCACAACAGGGGCTCAGGGGTACTGAGGATCTATTCTGCCCTGGAATCACTACAGGGTCACGAGGGTCTCAGGGGTACTGAGGATCTCCTCTGCCCTGGAATCACTACAGGGTCACGAGGGTACTGAGGATCTATTCTGCCCTTGAATCACAACAGGGTCACGAGGGTCTCAGGGGTACTGAGGATCTCCCCTGCCCTGGAATCACTACAGGGTCACGAGGGTAACGAGGATCTATTCTGCCCTTGAATCACAACAGGGTCTCAGGGGTACTGAGGATCTATTCTGCCCTGGGATCACTACAGGGTCTCAGGGGTACTGAGGATCTATCCTGCCCTTGAATCACAACAGGGTCTCAGGGGTACTGAGGATCTATTCTGCCCTTGAATCACTACAGGGTCTCAGGGGTACTGAGGATCTATTCTGCCCTGGATTCACTACAGGGTCTCAGGGGTACTGAGGATCTATTCTGCCCTGGAATCACTACAGGGTCACGAGGGTACTGAGGATCTATTCTGCCCTGGAATCGCTACAGGGTCTCAGGGGTACTGAGGATCTATTCTGCCCTGGGATCACTACAGGGTCTCAGGGGTACTGGGGATCTATTCTGCCCTGGAATCACTAAAGGGTCACGAGGGTACTGAGGATCTCCTCTGCCCTGGAATCACTACAGGGTCACGAGGGTACTGAGGATCTATTCTGCTCTGGACTCCATGTTATGGGTGAATACGATCCCCATCAGAGCTGTTTACTGCATGTTGACAAACAGTGCATGACACCTGTTGAACAGTGATTTCGAGCATTTAATCTGTCAGTATCGGACCTCCTTGTGTGTGAGTGTTTCCCATCAGATGTTACCAAATGGGTCAATACAAGGCATGATAGAGCCTCCATCTCCATCTTGTTTCCGAGCACCCAGTTACTTCGACACAGATGAGTTGTAGCTTTTGAGGCAGAACTGGGGCATGTTTTCCCACAGATTCCAGTCGTCTCGTCTCGTGGCTGATACAGCACTGACAAAGAAATAGCTATCACAGCCAACCAACCATTCATATCAGGTTTAATAATGTCCATTTAATGTTTGTATTAAGGAGCGTGGTGTGAGTTGGAATTCGTGCATCACAAGTCTTGGTTGTTTGTGTGTGTGTGTGTGTGTGTGTGTGTGTGCGTGCGTGCGTGCGTGCGTGCGTGCGTGCGTGCGTGCGTGCGTGTTTTATGATCATATCATAATACTGTTTCAGGATAGTTCAGAGAGCTTGTTGTGTGATCTACTTTAGATACGTATGAAAATGAAAAAAAAAATTTTTTATTAATGGTGGTGATTAAACGCATATATATTTGACATTCACGACCTTATATAGTTGGTGCTTATTTGCAATTAAAGAACAAATTAGATGTGTCTGTGTGTGTGTGTGTGTGTGTGTGTGTGTGTGTGCGCTTGCGTGCGTGCGTGCGTGCGTGTTTCATGGTCATGTCACAAAACTGTTTCAGAATAGTACAGAGAGCATGCCGTGTGTATGGCAAAGTACTGGGACACCTGTAACTTATTCATAACACAAGGGACCGCCTCCGTGGCCTAGTGGTAGAGCTCGGAGTCAGTATGCTCACGGGACCCTGAACCTTGTCTGCGCGTTTGTTTTTATTATTAGTTACATGGTCCTGTGGTTTATATGTGTCTGAGTGGAGTATACATGTTAAACTGTGGCATGGTATCTCAGTGGGCTAGCATATTAATCGGCATTAGTCCTGACTATAGCCTTGCTCCAAGGCTGTACTGAATGACAGGTCCATGAGTGTATACTGATTCTATCCTAATAAAAGGCAAGTCTAGATAAGTTGACAGTGCAAGGAAGCAGTCTCTTATTGGAACAACCTGTTCTTGTTATTTATGAAATCTAGAAATTATGATTTAAACTAATAGTGTTTGCCTAAGAGACTAATAAGAGATACCAAATGCAGACTATGGTTTAATATTCCTTCAGCTTGTTTGTAATGATATAAGCATTTCTTCAAGTGATGTGTAAGTCTCTCTGGGAGTTTAGGGGGCACGGGTGGCCCAGTCGTCTAAGGCACCGCGATTCGCTGTGCAGAGTCGCGTCCATTGGGCATGCCAGAAAGCTATTACTCTGGGTTCGAATCCCGGTTCGCCCCGATTATGTTTCTAGGTTTGTCAGCACCATACCCGTGCTTGTGGATTTCATCGAAGTGGTAAACGTCCTCTTTGCTCGCCTCCAGGCTCCATATCGGAGACCCATGGACCTCAAGGAACTAGACATGCTTCGCTTCGAGCTTTCCTCCCACATTAAGCTGACACGCCGTGATATAACTGGAATACTGTTAAAAGCAGCGTTAAACCCAACTCACTCACTCACTCACTCAGGGAGGTTAGGGAACAACAGCAACACACTGGGAGAAGCCCTGAGTATCTGGAGGACACCCCCTCAAACAAGCACTTACCTTAAAAACACTTTCAAAGTATCCACAGTGGACATGATGTTTAGAGCCCTGCAATTCACTGTGCAGAGGTACGTCCCCTAGCCATGCCAGAATTCTATGATGGTGGGATGGAATGCCAGATTCACCCTGATTATCTTTCTTGATTTCGCCTGAGTCTGTCCATGTTTCAGAGTTTCCCAACTCCCGCCCGCCCTGAATTTTAATTCCGAGGTGAAATAACATAAAGATTTTTGTATCTTGATTTTCCCCGCTGCTGTTGAAAATTGTACCCAGATATGATAAACAAAACAATCCTGCCACTGCACACACATAAAATACCCAGCTTTATCTTTCTTTAGCTGTGTATATTAAAAAATCGTTTCCGAAGCAAAGGGGCACGATCTAGATCATTAAATAATTTAAGGATAGGTCACAAACGAACCTAAGCAATTAGCGAAAAACAGTTGGGTTTTTTCTTTCTTTTTTTCATCTTTATTTTCGGGGCGGGATTTGATTTTACTCGCACACTTTCTTGCTGATTGAGGTTGGAGATGAGGCACATATAAAAAAAAGCCTAGGTTGTAAACGTCTAAAACTTACCGTATTCACCATAATGATTGTCCTTGGTGGTTGCAAATATGTAAAACACGACAAGACATTGTTAACAGACATCGGATGGAAGTGAACAAAATTACTTCAAGTGTCGATGACACTAAAACTTTTTTACAATAGCTACTGGGCTGAAGGTTGGGGGAGCTTATTGGGTAAGTTTTTGTTTGATTGCTGTTTAGCGCCGCAC